CTGATGGTAGATTCCTTCAAATAACTCTGCACAGACGCCCTCAATATTTCCAGGATCGTATAAAAATCGAAATGTCCCTCAGGGATATCCGTCAGATGTCCCAGTCGGTACTTTCAATATGTTGTCCCTGCGAGAACGTTTACTTACACCTCGCCGACGAATGATTGTTCGTAGACTTCAAGTACTCCTCGTCAATGTCCTTCACGTAAGTCCATTGGGCATCCGTGGAAAACTTTTTGGGGACCTCCTACGGACCATCAACTCAACTGGATGTCCTGATAAGTTATGCAAGATCTGGTCCTAGAGAAACCCAGGAAAATTCAAATTCAAGAATAATTTGTACGTCCCTGGGACATCCTATGGACATCCAATTGATATACCTCACCATTGCTGATAGTTTGTCCTATGGATGTCCTAAGGAATTCCTCTGTAGTGCTTGATAAGGAATACTGTAGGATTTAGGACATCCCTCAAGGACATCCCTAGTTGGTCCTCAAGTGGGACATTTGTGCGTCCCACAGACGTCCAATGGACGTCCACGATACCAAATTCGAACGACCTATAGACGTTCTGAATGTCCCGACAGGACTTCCAAAGTTGAGACAATTTCAGAGATTTATTTTCAATGTCATCAAGAACGATATCTCCAATTCTGAACTCGTTCCTTGTCAACGATTTTTGACAATATTTCGAATCCATGGACCGATTGATGCCTACAGTATGAGTAATAATCTAAAAACGTGGTCATATATATTATGCACTGTGATGATCTCATATAATCGTGGCTATGTTTGAAATTGACAAAACACAACATTCGAAGCTGACAATAGCTTGAAGTGAATCGTGCTACACACAGAAAAAAAATTTCTTCGAATGAGAAAACCCATTCTCTTGAAAATTCAATTGTATATCTTCTTTGAATTGAGCATATTCTTTTGAGTCGAGAAATTTGGTATGTTCAAGAAAATAGTGTCATATTATTGAAATATATTCTCAAACCAAGAATGTAATTATTGAATCACTAAATTAATTACTTCAACTCAATCAAAACGAATTTTCAATTCGCAGAAGCGTACTATTTTGTTTCAATAAATTTATTGCTTGATCCAAGAATATAAGTATACATTTCTTCAAATCAAAGAATGTCCATTTCATCGAATGACATATTCAGTTTTCTTGAATTGCAAGAACCTAATATGTTGAGGCAATACGCCATTTTCTTGAAACAAAAATATAAATAATCATTTCTTCAAATGAAGCATTCTAATTTTATCATATTGGTATTATAATTTCTTCAAATCGAAGACTCCTGATAGTTTTATTCTATGCCATATTTACTTGATTCAAAGATATGAATATCAATTTTCTCAAATGAAAGGAATATAATATCTTCAACTTGATGAACTTGATGATATTAATAATTTCTCTAATTGAAGAAGCCACATTTTGATTCGATACTTTATTTACTTGATTCAAGTCTATGAATAGGTATTTCTTTGGAAGAAAATAATATGCCCTCGGAAATCAAGGGTAAGCAATCCTGTTGCCAAAACTCAGGCCTCAGTCTTCAATCATTATTGACCATGCTCACATCATTATGACAGGCCCACAACGGCGAAACGGCATTAAGCTGCGAAGTTTGAAAATTCTGAATGTTTTATTGAGTGTGTATAGGTGGAAATGTCTTAGAATATAAATATGTAACAAGTGCAGAACTTGTAGAGAGCTGGTGAAGGTATAACATTGAATTCCCTTGGTAAGTAGTTACCTTTCCAAATATCGATAGTCATTGTTAGTGAATCAACAATTTTTCAATCAAAATAACAGGGATTTAGTAGTATCCTGCCATGAGAATATGCTTATTAATTCATTCGATTTTTTTTTTGGTAGCAAAATGACGACTGGTTGATGAATGAAGAAGTATTATATACAAATGACTTGCAAAGACTTGAGAAGACCTTGACATTAGGTGAGAGAAAGTTTCCTGCCGAATATCTCGAATCTATATACCCGATATCATCCAGGAGGCATGATATTACTGGAGTCACGATATTACATATTATAGAGGTGAGTTTTTAATCAATCATAATACTTATGTCATTGTTTGTAACCGTTATCCTTTCCAGCGAAACTTCAAGAAGACGAAATCAAGGCATGTGATTATTCTATAACCATTTGGGGTCTTGATGGACAATACTGATCCAAGATGTTGTACATGGGATTATTGTCAACTAAAGGAACAAATATATATTTCTTTACGAATATTCTGTGGAGTTTAGCTATCTCATTGGGAATCATTCACAGTTTTGAATCAAAAACATTATTATATTTTTATCCAAGCAGTCAATATTTTGATACAAGAAAATAGTTCCATTGGAGAAAATGAGCTCAATATTCATTATAAAAAACTAATAAATTCGGATCGAAAATATCAATGTGTTCATTGAAAATTTACGGAATTTTGACTTGAATAAATCGTTCATTTTGAAATGAAATAGAACAATTCTCAATAATAGTAATCCATAGTTGCAAATTGAGAAAATGATTGTTTTCATTTGGTGGATGGATTTCATATCTCAAAATTATGGTTTTCCTGAAATAAGTAAATGATTTTGTCAATATGAATTATTTCAATTCTCACTTCAACATAACAAACGTCTCCAACCATGCATATCTTGATTTTCCTACAAGAGAGTTGTTGAATAAATCATTGTTTCGGAACAAGAATATCATCTCTTTCGTTATATACAAACAAATCATTTTCTTGGACCAATGCAGTCATGCTCAATACAAGAGATTCTTTTTTTGTGTGTACCCTGGAGGCAAAACATTGAAACACAACCTCACTCTTTCGAAAAACATTGAAACACAACCTCACTTCTTCTATTTTTTCACAGAGGTATCAAAGGATTGTACTAGTTTTTCATAATATTATGGCAACCGAATCGTGTTTTTTGCACTATTTATTAATTCAAGCATGCCATCTACAGCGAGGAATATGATTTTTCAGGTGAATAGTAATCTCACAATACAAGCTAATACTGCTAATAGATTGGAAATCTCTACAACACACACGGTCATATTTCGTCAGCATGTCAGACCAGTCCTTCCATTTGATTGATTGATTGATCCAATCTTCTTGCATTCTTCTAGAAATTCCACGAGTATTTCTATCCGCCCCTATTGCAGAAGGAATTCCGATAGGGAATCAGAGAAATTACCAAAGTTTAAAATGAGAACTATATGTGAGTGACTATAGTAGGTATACTTTCTTTCAAATCTTAATGTATCAACCAGATTCCTTCGTCTCTCACGGCAGTCAGGGTGTAAAGTATACCGCTGTTAGATTTTGAAATATCCAAGTGTGATACTGATTACATTTTCAATACTATAGTACAGCATATTATAATAAACATGAGATTAAAGCTATTCTTTGCTGTTCTCCATATCAGTTATACCTAATAAGGATTGTATTGTCTCTCTCTATCTATGTTCCTATATTTCTTTCAAGTGACGAATCAAATTGTTATGATACTGTTCACCCACCAGTTCTCATGTGAATTGGATTGAGTCAAAATTGATAGAAAATTTTGACATTCCGTCTTGAAATAGTATTAACACGGAATGGATATCATGAAACATAACACGGAATGGATATCATGAAACAGTGTTGCCATTCATCTCCGTCGTAGAGGACGCCCACCAATCGACGGGATGGAAGTACTATAATATACCTAATCGGGGACGCCCACCAATCGACGGGATAAAAGTACTATATACACCTGATCAAGGACGCTCACCAATCGACCTGATGAAAGTACTATATACACCTGATGAATATACATGAGTTGCACGGGTCGCCTCTATCGGCAGATGCGTTGTACTATCAATATATCTCTAATATTCAAATCTGCAGGTTGTGCCATCATCTGAGCGTCCAGACAAATTTTTTCCAACGCGTTCTCCGGAACTTCTTGAGTGATCTACTGTAGGCAAACTTCCGAGCGTCCGTATACGGACGCTCTGTAGGAACTGGACGCTTGGAAGATAGGGATCGGTCAATGTATGGACGCTCGGAAGATGGTAGGATAAATATATATATATATATATATATATATATATATATATATATATATATATATGGAAATACACCCATCTTCGTCTCGTGGGTGATGCCTCGCTCACAAACTCACTCACTTCTCTGGAACACCGTAGAAAAGTTGGCGATCTGGCTCTATTTTATAGATATCTTTTTGGGCGATGCTCTTCTGAAATATCAACAATTGTTCCTCCCTTGGCAGTCCCCGCGAGATTAACCCGTCGAGTTGAGGCTTCGCACCCCTTCGTAGTCACTTTGGAGACCTGTAGAACATCTCTTTCCAAAGACTCGTTCATCCAACGAACAACGAGGCTCTGGAACACATTGCCAAGGGAGGTGTTCTCCGAGGCATATAACCTCCAGAAATTTAAGAAGAACACCAATTCCTACCTTATTTCCCTTGGTTCTCACGATGTTCTCTGAACATTACAGGATATCCCTTTTCGTGGGAACTAGAACATAAAAAAAATCTCACCTACTACTTTCAACATATTATTATGTTGAACCATAGATTCTTGTGTAACTATGTATACTCGTTGCTTTTATTTGTTATGTTATGTGCACATATTCTTCATTTTTAATATTTTTATAACAAGATATTTATATCTACGGACATGTTCCGAACTATTTGACGTGTGTAATGAAAGAAATTTTCAAAGACACCAATAAATTATATTCCATTCTATTCATTAACAACCAAGAAACCCAGCAGATTCCCAACCAAAATAGGAATACTGCACTTAGTACTATGTGGATCACTTTTTATGTATTGATTGACGGCAACCTTAAAATCCACTTTTACATTTCGACGGTCAATAGTAAACACTGCAGTTCCATTTTTTATGACTCCTTCAGGATCCAAAATGTCAATATATTGATTATTGTTTGAAATCTGTTCTAGTGATAAAAGTACGTCGTTCACGCCATTTTGCGTAGTACTTGGCCTCACTTTGAAAGAACTGCACAGAGGTCTGAGTTTGGCTCTCACTGAGAAGTTCGCACTGGTTTTAACACAAATATTGAAGTGTTTTGCAGCTTTAGTACAAGCCACGCCGTATCATAGGATGTCTCCAGGTCTTATCACTAAAGTGGTGCGGAATTTGAAACCATTAATTCACAGCAACCAAGGTAGGTACACACATAATATAACTTTTGAATCATATAGAATAACGTGAATTTTCTTTTGTATTTGGAATTAGCTCCGTGTATGTGATCAACGAATGGCATGTAGGAGTGAATAGAAAGTAATAACGCACCACTAATTTTAAAAGTCAAAATCAGTGGAAGCATTGAGAGGGAGGCATTAAAATATCATACACGCTGACAATCATCCTTGTGGAAAGGAAATTCTCTATTAACTGAATTTGAATTGAATAATTGCTGTGGTTCTTTTAATGATTTTACCTTCTTAGCCAAACAATTTTATAAAAGTCACAACAATATTCGAGAGCATTTGAAGGATATCAGAAGAACCTCAAATGTCAATTCTTGACAACTGTTCATTTCATCTTATGTCTGGTGTATTTCATGGTAGGAGATGTATTGTTATTGTAATACTTGAGTTGTGTGAAAAAAACACCAGCGCGAAGATTCCAAGTCATTACTCGAAAACCAAGAAGGAATTGAGGATAAAAAGTTTGTAGATAATCATGAAAGAACATAGGATTAATCTGAATTAGTACCGTTTTTCAATGGACTGAAATTATGCACCCAATGTATATCTATCCTCTGATAGTTACAAAAAATGTGTGCACCGAGTGGAAAACGGAATAAGATTGTAGGTTTCCTAATCTAATCATCAGGGAATTCTGCATTGAATATGGTGGAGTAGTCATGATATTGGTATATGTTGTTGAATTTGAGGCTATTAGGGTCCCTTGATGTAAATTGACGTATTTGTCATCTTAACAGGGTACGGACAGATCCTCGTCTCCTTTCACTCTAAAGTGTTTGTGAAACAGTTATATAGTTCCATCTTTATTCATTTCTGGGGATAAACACTAGATTTCTGACATTTGTTGTTTTTTAGGTTATATTGAGGACATTGGAGTATCATACGTAATTTCCACATGTAATTTCTCATTCAACTCTACATATTATATCCAAATGATGATGATAATTTTCGAGTTTTTGATTTTTCAACTCCAGCATAATCTTTGTGAGGCAGTGAGCAAATTTTTCTGAAAGTTTAATACATTTCACCAAATGGGACTGTTCTTAGCATGGTTGAGAAATGGTGAAAAATTGTATGTAGGTATTCAAACTAATGTGTCATGTGTGCTGTATATGTTCATGTCATTTTGCAGTTTTTCATGAACACTTAATATTTCCAGAATGTAGGTATAATTTTTTAAATGGTTGGGCATATGCCTCTGCTTTTAATCCTCCGTTTTGATCAAAACTGTTTCTACTAAAATGCATTCAAAAATTTGTGGAGTGGATAATTATAGGTACAATGAGAAAGTATAATATGTGATTTCGTATTAGTTTTACCTCGAATATTTTGCTGATATATTCACCAATTTTCCCCATTCGGTCACTTGACTTTCCATGTTCTAAATTCATTTGCATTTGATGGAAAGCTGACAAATTCAAATTTGCCATCCATCTGATTGATAGATACATCCTTCCAAAACAGAATTAAATGATGTCGTATATCGATGAAGTATGAAATTAAAATATTGTAAGATCTCTTTTAATGCCAATGAATGTGACGTCACAGCAATGTCATGTCAGGGACGCCAAAACGCGAAACCAAAGTCACTAGATGATCAAAAGAGAAAGGAGCTATGATCTGTCCGTTCCCTGTCAGAGGACAAATAGATCAGTCTGCATCAAGGGACCCTAGAGGCAATGATGAACAATCCAAATTTTCGACCTTGAGGGGACTCGGCGCGATCCGCCATCTTGGATCAAAGATACATAAAATTTGATCTTCCTGAATAATTTCTCAACGATTGATCCTACAAGAAAAAAGTTTGGTACTAAGTTGAAGGAGACTAGATTTCCTACATTTTGTGTGGATACACATATCATACAAATGTCAAATATTTTCCAAAAAATCGTCATACCTGATATTTTTGATGGTAAATTTTCTTCCACATGATGATTACATTATAGCAAAATGAAGTTCGAATTCGCATATGCATTTATATAAAGTATACATATTATTATTAGTGTATAGATTTTACAAGTTTCATTCCATGGGTTTTGTAGCTAAACAGCCTGTTTCTTATCGACCTATTGATGCTGTTCTTGAGAATGTTCATCACGAAGAAATCCGATGAAGGTTTTACTTAAAATTCGAGCTAGCTCCATTTTCTTACCAAATTCTTATCAAATATGCTCTTTTCACTCCTTTGTTAGGAGACGTAGAATTCGGAGATCATACAATCAATGTTGGAGATGGGGACTATCTTCTACATAAATTTGTATGAATTCGTAATAATTCTTTCGGCACAACTTGTGAGAAATATGTTAAATATGAACGGAATCACTACGGTTCAAATGAAGTCATTGTTTTCGATGGATATCCATCTGAAGGTGACAGGAAAAAAAAAGACTACTTCGAATGATGAAGCAGACGTCTGCAGAAGTTCTTTTCGACGAGACAATGACGATTCAAGATTCCAAGAACGATTTTTGGCCAACAATTCGAGCAGTCCGATTTCACTGTTAAGCAGGCTGAAAAAGATGCTGATATTTTGATTAGATCTACTGCTGAAGAGTTTTTCTCCAAACGACATAGAAAGTGGCTTTTCTATAACACTTACCCGGCAGCAAAGGTGTACTTTCTCTACCTAGGCAGAAAAAATGTGTTGCTATGCAACATTCCAAGTAATTTGAATGAAATTGTTAATCAAAATTGACACTGACAGTGGGTGAACACAAAATGATAGTTTTCAATAAAAAAATTACAAACATTGGTTTCATAATATTTGGAGGAAAAATTATGTTTGACATGGCAGCAAAGTAGATTGACTGCCTTGGCTAAACTCCTAGCCCCGCTACGCTCGGCTATGTATGATAACTATTAGAACATAATTATAAGCATCGGCAGTCTATCTACTATGCCTACTATACTACTACTATACTTTGCTGCCTAGTGAAACAAATAACTACATTCTGAAATTACTAATTTTTTGTACCTTGAATCCAAGATGGCGTCTCGCGCTGACCGCCGTCAAGGTCGAAAACTTGGGTTCTTCAACGGGGCCCCGGACTAAACAACATATACCAAAATCATAACTACTTTTCCTTTTGCAAGACAAATACCTTTTTTAGTCCCTGCTGAGTGGATTATCAATAAATGTGAATTATTAAGCAACTCCAGTATTTTAAATAAAAATCATTCTTCAAAAGATCTCATTTAATCACCAAATTAGTTCAACATATTCGAAATCCTTATCCTCTATATCTATTATCTTAAATAGAAGCTTCAAGAGATAAAAAAAGAAGGGTGTAGAAAGTGATAAGAAATAAATAAATGGCAATACTCTATTGGTCTGATAGGGACAGTGATAAAAAACATTTTGAAAACAATATGAAATGATAAGTGCGTTTCCGGCTTTTTATAAGTGTTTTCAATCATCATCAAATATATCTCAGATTTATGATTTGGTTTCCTAAAATATGGATTTCAAAACGACCAATTCACATTAGTTCATTATGAGAAATGTTTATTGATCACATCCACTTCTAATTTTGATGTTTTTAGCGCCATCTATTCGTTCGTGATCTCCTTGAATTTCCTTCCAGATCTGTATATTTTCAATTGATAAATGAATCATATTTACTACTACTATATACCGGGTGTCCCATTAAGCCTATCGACCGGCTTTATCCCAGAAACTAATGGTCCCACAGTTTTAGGAAAAAAACTATCTCATGTAAAGCAGTCAAGAATAATACAACTAAAATATTTTTGAGTTCCTAAAATGACCGCTAGGTGGCGTAATACAGATTGAAAAACTCATTTTTGTTGAAGAAGTCAAATACAACCGTAGGTCTTAACCAACGTTTGTATTTGACTTTTTCAAGAAAAAGGAGTTTTTAAATTTTCAATATGTATTACGCCACCTAGCGGTCATTTTAGGAACTCAAAAATGTTTTAGTTGAATTTTTCTTGACTGCTTTACACAAGGTTTTTTTCCTAAAACTGTGCGACCAATAGTTTCTGAGATAAAGCCGGTCGATAGGATTAATAGGACACCTGGTATACTAAATTAATAAATACTGTCTATAGGTTAATCGAGGAGGTGGTACATTCATTATTCCAGACTTTTTGGGATTTTCTCTCCTCGTTTCTATAAAATAAAATTATGAATATCATTTCAGTCTCGATTTCAGTATACGTGTAGTGAATGATTTGCCCCAAAATGTCACTGCTTTCAAAGAATGTCCCTATTAGAGAGCCTAAAAGAAAAATTCACTAGCTTGTCAGTGACAATTTGTATTGGAAATGGTTTTGAGAAGAGAAATGAAGGTATATAGAAAAAATATCAAATTTTCACTCAGCTCTGGACGTTTCGGGAACGAATCTGCTCCCGTTTTCAACATGAAGAATGGATATATGAACGGCAAATTCAAATTTGTCCTGACACACTTCAGTTCTCAGTGACAATTGGTTTCGTTGGCAATCAAATGAGTTACAGGATGTTTTCATTAATTGATCTTGAATTTTTCATTTGCAAAGCTAAGTGAAAATTTGATATTTTTTCTATAAACATTTATATCTCTTCTCCAAACCATGTTCAATACAAATTGTCACTGACAAGCTAGTGAATTTTACTTTTAGGTTCTCTAATAGGGACATTCTTCAAACGCAGTGACATTTTAGAGCTAATCATCTGATTTGTCCTCACTACACGTATACTGAAATAATATTCATAATTTTATTTTATAGAAACGAGGAAAGAGAATCCCAACAAGTCTGGAATAATGAATGTACCCATCTCCTCGATTAACCTACAGACAGTATTCATTAATTTAGTACCTCTGATCTCTGATTATTGAAATATTTTTTTCTCAGTAACAGAGTCATTGTAGCACCAGAAAACTGATGAATGGAATATGAAGAATAGTTTTCTGTTTATTCTAGATGCTTCTGTTCAAGTGACTGCATTAATAGTTCTCGGCTGTGTTTTGGCCTCTGAACCTGTTGTTCCAGAAACTAAAGAAGCTATGTTAAAAACACATTGTTTTACAAATAATCAGGAAATAGATGGTAAAACAGAATTTGCAACGGAAATAGGAGTGACCAACACTGAGGATATTGATTATGTCGAATTTGTTTCTGATGAAGAAGACTCTAGTGATAGTACTATGCCATGGCTCCTCGAAAAATGTATCAATAATTTACTTTCAAAGTCGGATGAGAAACCAGATGTAAGTACAAGTACTTGAACTATTATGCAGTGTCACCGTTAAGCCCGTACCATATTCAATTTTTCAATTATTTGATTTACTCAAACTTTCAGTTTATGAGAAGAATTTTTACTTGTTGCACGAAACCTCTTTTTTTGTTGAAGTGAACTTGACATGTATCAATAAGAATTTTGTTGCCTGGCAATTTGACGAAAAAAACTGCCTCTGAAAAAATTACCCGTCCCTAGGACGACTTATTTTTTCTGGCAGTTCTTTGAGTTGAATTACCTAATGGCAACAAAATTCGAATTATAAATGCCAAGTTCACGTCGACTGAAACAAAAGCGAGAGTGTAGTTCGGTAAGACAATTTAATTCATCAAACATTTTTTTATGGCTGGTTGTCATGCTTTCATATGTTAGGTTCCGTTATTGTCGCTGGAAAAGTTAGATCAAACTTTTTTCGCTGGATTTTTCATACATGTATTGAATTGTTTTTGAAATGAAGCAAAATAGGGTTGAAGAGGTTGTTATTGAGATCTATGTCATGAAATATTCAAAACTTATTGTGAATTTCAAACCTCTTGCTAAATAATTTTTCCTTTTTACTGACAATTCTCCCGTCACAATGTCAACACAAGCACTTCTATTTGTCAATCCAATTAGGCAATCCAAGGACCTGTCAAACTATGCGCTGGTTGGCACAAAATGAAATTATTAATGTGTGATAAATCTTTTTATACCCGATTTCCTGTTGGTATCAGAAGTACAAGTCACATAATCAAATAAAATCACAAATAGTAAGTATCTAATTGTTCTAGTAACATCATTCTATTGATTTTATATATGGTGCCAACCAGGCGCCATATTGATTCTAACCTCAGTTGGATTGTCTAATTATCAAACGTTCTCACGAGGAGGAACCAAATTCGAGAAGAAAAAAGGTTTTAATGCACAACAAAACCCCCCATTCCAGTTTGTTCCATCTCGATGCATAATTTTGTTAATAGCAATATTAGATAAAACAGCCTGTACACCAAGACATAGAAGACATTTTTTTATTGCATAAAGAGGAATATTTGAAATCAAAATTTCATACAAAATACACATTGTCTTAATTTCATTGACAAACTGGTAACAAAAAAAGAGCACCAGAAGCCTATTATTCCCTAGGAAGATAATGTGACATATTTTTTCCCTAGGGAGTTTATACAAACTTTACATTTTCCGCATAGCTCTGCGCTTTCTCTTCGGAACACCCTTCTCTGAAGCGAGTATAAGCTGCATCATACAGATTTCTAGATCTCACTGGTAGCAAGTTAAGAATCACTGCAGAAGCAGTATCAATAGTTTCTCGGGGTTTTCCCTCGATTTCTTGTTCCATAACCGTTGACCATTTTCAAAGCTTCATAAATTTCAGTTTGATATTTGCTGTCACCATGGGTTCTCAACAAGATGCATGTTGTCAAGATACGAATTCCACAAACTATACTACTAATTATGACAATACACTTGGACCAAATTTTGGAAAAAATCTTGCATTTCTGTCCCTTGATGTATAACGTACTATTTCAGCCATCGGATAATAATGAGCAAGGTTACCCCAAGATCCCAGTACCAGTAAAGTTAGAATCTCTGCAAGTGATATCCGCAATGAGTACGAATTACTTCGAAATTCTCGTCTCGCCGTACCTTGGTTTCATCACGAAGGCCCTGGACGTATCGTTGACCGACAAGTATATAGATCTGAGGCTGCACGCTGGACGAGCTGTCGACTTTATTGGGCAAGCCATCGGGAGATGTTTGGCTAACAAAGGTAGGTAGGTAGGTATTGACCTTGATTATTTGCAATGATAAGATGATCCACCTCCATGTGAAATGTTGAAGCCAAATTTTGCCTTAGTTTTAGGCTGGTTCATAGGCAGCGCTAGCGAAACTCGGCAAAATATAGCCGATTTGTCTATACTCTCGGAATCTGCTCAAGTCCATCTATCTGCTAGTTGCTGAACTATCAAGGAATATCCTTAGTAGTAGTAGTAGTAGTAAATTTAGTGGCCATATCAAGTAATCAGGTACAAATGACAAGTCAAACTTCACAGGATAAAAAAAGGACATCGCACATTTAGTACGGAAAATGGATTTCGGCTAATTTTTCTGAATATTTGATATGTTTCAGATATTAGGTTCCTTATTACACTTCAATTAACAGATCGATCCTATGACAAATTTTTGAGCTACAGGCTGTCAATCATTTGATTTTGGCTGTTTAGAATATTTTGCATCGATTTGAATTATGTGCTCTAAGTCGTGATGAATCTTCAGTAGAAATAAACGCTCCACGTCTTATTCCTACCTCATGAATCCCTCTATTTGAATAGATAATAATATCACATACAGGGTATTGCATTCCATCATGACAAGGTAATATTCATGGGAATAGAAAAATATTGAAAATATCGGAATTTCGATTTTTACTCAATCACTGAAAACTTGAAAACAAACGGCTAGAATCGGCAATTTATTTGACTCACTATGAATCTTGATCATCAACATGAGGCTTTATATGATTTCCTTTGATACAATGTCCGGTTTGCCATATATAGGGTGATGACAATTTGAAAGCTTAGAATTGATGTAACTCATGTATATACAAAATGAGATACATATCACGAATGGTTATATAATACATAAAGTGGAAAATAAAATGTCTCATAAAATACCCCCACCAACCCCCTGAGTCACAACCACCCCTACGCAAATCATTTCAATAGTAGCCCCTTTTTTATGTTCTGGTTCCCACGAAAAGGGATATCCTGTAATGTTCAGAGAACGTCGTGAGAACCAAGGGAAATAAAGTAGGAATTGGTGTTCTTCTTAAATTTCTCGAGGTTATATGCCTCGGGGAACACCTCCCTTGGAAATGTATACCTCATTGAATAGCTCGGTGAAAATACATTCCATTGCTATTATCCATATCTCGGACTGAGTGAACTAACAAAAAATATTCATTACCTATATCAATCTGCTAGGCTAGAGTGACGTATTAATTCCATTACTTTTCGTAATATAACAAAAAAATCGTTTATGTCGAGCACTATCTATTGCTGAAATAGTTATGTTCAGGTGATTCGAAACAATGATTTGTGTAGAGATCGATGAAGCGAGGAGAACACGGCAATGTACAGAATGTCTTGTTCCAGGTAAGTAAATGATTATGTTTTCATGAGATCAAAATTATGTTGAACAATTCGACTAAGTATTGGTAATATTGGAAGTAGCCAATTTTCGAATGAAATTTTTTCACAAATGTGAATTAATAAACGTATCATGAATATTTGAGTTCAGGATTTCTAGAAAGACTAATATAATACAGTGTGTCCCACTTACCATACTCACCATGGGTATCTTTTTAACGGTGAGAGATACGAGGTCGGTTGAATGACACCAAATGTGGAGTTTGTCAAGGACAACTATAATGTGAAAGAATATTTCGATAAAAACTATTCGTTTTTGTTTTATACGCAAAAAACAGATTTTGATCATTTTCATGTCTCCTCCGTATAACTTCTTTATTCATGAAAATATTCAAATAGGAATTTCACATTCTCATTACAGTTTTTCAAAGTGATTCCGAAAAAAATATGAAATTTATACCAACTCTTCTAGAATTTGAGATATCAGCACCAACTTTAGTTTTTCAAATGTAGGTCATAGCTCACTATGACTTAGTTACAAATAACTTTTTTTTCTCTTACAGATGATATGTCGCAGTAATAGTTTTGTGGTGATAACAACAGAGTTATCGTCATTTATACGAAAACAAAAAATTATTTGGAAGCCGTCATCTTGAATTTATAAATTTTAACAAAAAAATCATGATCTCCGACCTCAAAACCCCCACTTACCAATTTTGAATGGAATCGGACCAATCTTGTCCGCCATCAATTTTAAAAAATGGCTGCTCCAAGATGGCGGACAAGATTTGGCCCGATTCCATTCAAAATTGGTGTGGGGGTTTTTGAGGTCGGAGATCACGATAGTTTTGTTTAAATTTATAAATTCAAGATGGCGGCTTCCAAATAATTTTTTGTTCTTGTATGAATGACGATAACTCCGTTGTTATCAACACAAAACTATCACTGCGACATATCATCTGTGAGAGAAAAAAAAGTTATTTCTAATTAAGTCATAATGAGCTATGACCTACGTTTGAAAACCTAAAGTTGGTGCTGATATCTCAAATTCTAGAACAGTTGGTATAAATTTCATATTTTTTCGAAATCACTTTAAAAAACTGCCATGAGAATGTGAAATTCCTATTTGAATATTTTCATGAATAAAGAAGTTACGGAGGAGACATGAAAATGATCAAAATCTGTTTTTTGCGTATTAAACAAAAACGAATAGATTTTATCTGAATATTTTTTCACATTATAGTTGTCCTTGACAAACGCCACATTTGATGTCATTTAATCGACCTCGTATCTCTCACCGTTAAAAAGATACCCATGGTGAGCATGGTAAGTGGGACACACTGTATATTAAATATATAAACTATCATTATTTTGGAACCTTCGACAAATGAACCTCAAAAATATATTGTATGGGTTTTATATAGAGCTCGACATGAACGATTTTTTTCTACTAGCCTAGTAGAATGATATAGGTAATGAATATTTTTTGTTAGTTCACTCAGTCCGAGATATGAATAATACCACTGGAATGCATTTTCACCGAGCTATTCAATGAAGTATACATTGCCAAGGGAGGTGTTCCCCGAGACATATAACCTACAGAAATTTAAGAAGAACACCAATTCCTACTTTATTTCCCTTGGTTCTCACGATGTTCTCTGAACATTACAGGATATCCCTTTTCGTGGGAACCAGAACATAAAAAAAGGGCTACTATTGAAATGGAAAGAATGTGTCAAACGGCCATGAACTCATAGAAGGCCTACTTATTCTTGTTTTCGAAAATGCAAACATTGTTTGAACGAACGAATTCTGTAGAAATTGAGCTCTCTACTTGTGATTTTTATGAATAAATTAATCCGAATTAATCAAACCAAATTGAAGGTGTATGCAATAGTTACCAATTTATCAGTTATTATATTGGATATTGAAATGAAAAAATACCAGAAGTGTATGTTAGTTAGAATAAGACTTTTTTGACCAAATATCTATATTCCACAAAAAAAAACATCGAAGCAGACTTCACTGAGAATTCTAATTTCAGACATGAAAGCTGCCATTCCTTTCGAGGATTACCTGTTTTTCTGGCAGACATTACTAAATGGCTCTTTAGTGGATCTTCTACAAAGTGAGCAACATTCTATTTTAAGAGCCGTTGGCTGTGATTGCCTTGGAAGTATTGGATCTGATATCTTCGAGAAACTACCCGTAAGTTGACTTTCTTATTTTTCCTCATTTGGTTGAAATCTTCGCACTCAGTCATAAATAATTATCCTTTCTCTAATGGAATAAAACTAACATCATTACAAGGGGTAAGGGGTACTTATTTTGTAGTCATAATAAGATAATCATCAGCCAAAAATTACTAAAACGTCTAAAAACAATGAGTATGGTGATTGGGGTAAATTAGATTATCATAGTATACTTACATGAAACTGAAATTATTCAAGTTGAAAATTCCAATAATGAAATGGTAATAAAATATCATTATTGAACAGGATTTAGTGGAGTGTCCTGTGCACTTTGATATAACCTCAGGAAGTTTTCATAGCATGTGAGTAAAGTAAGAGGTTAGCTTTGACTAGGCTGTGACTATGGTTACAAAATTAATGATATGGAAACCTCCAATAATTATCTCAGTGACAAAACGTCAAAAGTGACAAGTGACGAGATGTCGATAGGACAAATGACAGGTAACAAGGAACATATTCGAATTATGTAAATAACCCAGGTTGAGAGATGAGATAAGGAAGAGAGCCTAAGAGAATTAATAATTGATTTATGATGAATCTACAATAACCAACCAACAGTCCTCATTGTAGGTCGTAGTCTTGGCTGATGATGTAGAGATTTGTCCTTTTTTAGCTACTATCACTCCACTTTGAGCATTATGGACTTTTTCACACGTTTATCTTCTTTTTTTTTTCAGAGAGATAAACAAATATTATGTGTCACACTTTTATTCGCCTTCTCCAGGGATTCCGAGAACAGCGTGAAAGCGGCTGCTATCAGAGCCCTTGGAATGTGTGTGCTTTATCCACCTTTGAGAGATGTGAGTAAAACTATCTAATTAGTTCAAAAAATGTAATAATACTTATCTTTTTAGGATCCTGGATTCGTAGTTGATACAGCAGAAGCAATATATTCTACGCTGAAAGATGAAAATTTGCTAGTGAGGATAAAAGCATCTTGGGCTTTAGGGAATTTGAGTGATACTTTAGTTTTGAATAGGTGAATATGCTTAGGTGATTTTTATAGAAGGGGATTTTTTGTGAGATTCACATGTTCTACTCATAATTTGAATCTCTTCATCCAATGAGGCCTAACATTCTCAGTCTCACCAGTTGGCGTTACTAAAGCGTGAGGTCAATGTCAAAGTCAAATATCCCAAAATGTTGCCTGTTTTTTCGAAAATATTTGAAAACCTCAAACTATGGAAAGACTTGAGCAGACTTACGTTTTTTTACTCTCAATGTGGAACTTTACGACCAATTCTTACATTGATGGAGAAGAAGATATCGTAGGAAAAGGACAAATGATAGGAAAAGATGAAATATATATATATATATATATATATATATATATACATCCTACTATCTTTGTTGCGTCTTTTCATAATCCATACTTATTGCGTCCACTAGAAAGAATAAGGTTGGATAGAAACTAGTCGAAGTGTATCTCTCCTCACATAATTTCCAGCATTTACCTCTATTCAGAATTGCTCTATCTTTATTTTTAAGATATACGATTTATTTTCATTCAGCGTACCTCATTGCGTCATTCAATTTCACGAATGTTATTGCATCCAGCCATATATTTGGGGTTCATTCAACGATCTTTATTGCGTCCTGTATATACATTAGTGCGTCCAGCGATGTTGCCAGACTGAGGGTATATTTTTATTACATAAATAGTACATTATTGCGTCTGACTATTCATAATGATGCAAGTCTTCAATACTAATGTAATATGGTTCGGTATTGATATGTATTTGTCAAGTTGCGCGACATTTTGACAATAGAAGGAGAACAATCTGCAAATTTCTACCGTCATCGGATAACGATATGACATGTCACAAACGCATGTATTGTATCAAACGGCACCTCTGACAGCCTATATTCTAGGATAAATGAATGGAAAATGGCACTTTCCTGTGCGAAATCGAAATTATGCTATTCCCTCAATCTGGGTCAAATCTTTGGCGCAGATTTTTGTGCTGCTGTCATTTCGCAATGACTTTCGTCACGTGATAATGAGTTTTAAGAAAATGATCCCCTCTTCGCGAATAGGGGCAGATAATATTTAGCTCATATTTGAAGATATCTGATGAACCATCGGTTCGATAAACTTGTTCATCTTCAGACAGGGGCAAAATGTTCTCGGAAATATTGGCGCTCCACCATAAACTTATATCTGGTTAAATCGCGCCAAGTTAGAATGTTCGCGAAGGGGCATTATCCCCGTGTGTTTGCATTCAGTTTCAAGTCCTTAACACGTCATGGAAGTAAAAGAAATCGTTGTGCTGAGAATTTGAGCCAACTTAAGGGGTAACACAGGTAGGGTTGCAGGTGGAATTTCCCAATCATTTTGCTCAGTTAAGTGAAACTATCCGATGGATGTCCATTGAATAGACATACATGGACATGGATATACCGGGTGGCTACGGAAGTATTGCCTACGGAATATCTCAGTTATTGTATGAAGTAGGTTTGTGAAATTTGGAGCCTCGATATAATGACATAAGAGCTAGAATTTGAGGCGAAAAAAAAAATAGGGTTTCCATTTAAAATAAGAAAGTTGATGTTACTTCCGGTCAGACCGGAAGTTAACTTCGACATGTCAATATGCTCAAATTCTAGCTCTTATGTCATTATTTCGAAGCTTCAAATTTCACAAAGCTACTTCATACAATAACTGAGATATTCTGTAGGCAATACTTCCGTAGCCACCCGGTATATTGGATGGTTCAAAATGTCCAGATTCTATCTAATTGTCATTGTAAATCCATAGGCCGCAAGTTTGGATGTCCATTGGATGTCCATCCTGTATATCTACTGTGAAACTACTGTGATGAATTGTATACCTATAAGACAAAAATTCTGAAACTACTAGATATGAATTGGACAACTACAGTTCACCAATTGTACAACAATGAGAATTAATTGACCTCTTCATGTATACGTTTTGAACAATATGAATCGAACTCTCCCCCTATGTGTTTGAATATATTTTCTCATAATTTGGTCCAAATAGTTCTTTGCTCGTTGAACACGAAACATCTTACAATCAGACATGAAACTCTATACGTCACTATCTTGGATATTTACTATCACAATCCGTCTTTTGCGACCAATAGGTCTCAGATTATTCAGATGATGAAATGAAATTATCAAATATATACACCTGACATCAGGTGGGCACTTCGAAGGCGCAAATTCATTACTGTATGGGAGATACCCTTCAGATTTTCAGCTGTCCACGACTTGACAACCAATGACATTCCGGAAACAACAGTCATTTGGTCTAGGCGATGTCATATGCATTCTTTCAGTCTACTAGATACATTATGGATATCGATAGAAAAGGTGTCACTAATTATACATTGGATGAGCATTCATGTTTATCTGATGGATGTACAATTCATGCCGATGGATATCCAGAACTTTTTTATTGGTATCCATTGTAATAGTGTCAGTGGTATTCCATTGGATAGGCATTTTGGTTCTTCCGATGGATGTTTATTACTTGTCCATGGACATCCGAATCTTTCTTAGGTATGAAATGGGCATTCATTGGATGGCCTGTATTATAGAGAAGGTGCCGTTTGATGAAATATATTTTTCTCACATGCCTCTAGGAGATTTGTCATTTCGTTATCGGATGACGGTCGTAATTTGCCGCCAGCTATTACAAGTTAAGTAAAAATTATAATTTTGAAATCTCATCGACTCAAAAGAAAATTATTCCACCTGATGTTCCATATTATCAATTCGGTCATATCAATCTAATGAGTTTTTAGTAGATAAATGGCCCACGAAAGATATGAAAATGATCACTGCGGCATTCATTCTAGGAACTTCATTGCCAAAGATTACAGTGAAACGGTTTCGCAGTTATTTCGTACTCATATATTAGCACTGTGATATATTTTTTGATGAAGAAAGCTGTCCAATGATGGTATCTCTAAAGATGATAATGAATCAACAAGCACATTGGCCATGTCCATATATCTCCTTATGGTGACATCTTCTCTTCAATGAATGGCTGTCGTCCTATATAAATTTTGGATGCAGATTTTTCGACTATTTCAATTACATATTTGTCCTGATATAGCATATTATGCCATTGGGACCACTTCGACGACAGGTAGTAAATTGCTAGAACACTCGATAATGATAATAAATATTGCGGTTTCATCATTAGCAAGAGTGCCGATGAAATGCGGTCCTACATGGTTGCAATTACCTCCTTTCCCCAAGATCATTACAACAAATCAGTTTTTTGATGATTGACTGATTGAAATCAGAATTATATATCAAAGGAAGGAAGGAAAGCTCAAAATCATCTCCACACCATTTGAGCACGTTGTTAACTCGGTTTTTTGATGATCAGGGACACGTTTCGGTATTAGAGATCATCTTCAGCTCCAAGTACGATACAAAAAATATGGGTATTAAGGAATTAAAATTTTTTGTAAAAAATTTTTTGTAGACTCACTTGGAGTTGAAATAGTTTAATAAATTTATCAAGTTAAATTAGATATACCTGCCGATGCCCATAGTCACGAGCCCATGTATTAGGATATAATAACGGGTTCTGAAAAATTGTTCTGAATTTTTCTATCCGTCATTAGGTTGGCCCCTTACGAGCAATCCCTAGAATTCTTCGAGAGACTTTTGCGAGCAAGGGATGACCAAACACTTTCTTAGGTCATCAGACACATCTCTGCAGCGGAGAATTGAACTCACGTACACCAGCAAGCAAACGCGAATTAGAGTAGTGACGCCGAGGCTACCTGGGTTCTCATTGATGGAGGGCCTCGTACCATGAGAGCGCGTACAATTATATATTCGATTCAATATCATACAGCAATTTTGGAAAGAACAACCGTTTTTGAAAATGGTCCCTGTTTCATACTGAAAGCACAAATTATTGAGGCAAATATCGAATTATTGATGAGGCAATCAGCCAACACGTATTTCAAATCCAACTGAAAAATTAGAAAAACAGAAAAGTCAATGACATGAGTCAAAGTCAAAGCATAGATGGAACATGAGATTATGGCATTATGAGCAAAGGCATATTGGTTAGGTTAGGTTTAGGTTAAACTTGAGTGGGCCCATGTCAGGCCCTTCATATGGCCTATTATAACATATAACTCAGATATTGTATACAAATAATTGACGAATGTTGAGAGGAGAGAAGAGATAAGTGGGGAAAATGAGCAAAACAGGAAAAAAATAATTAAGTTCTGGAATTGAAACCCATCTTCCAAGAACTCCTTCACAAACTATCCTCATACACCAAACCACTTCAGCTATGCCATCTTTCATCGAGTTTCCTTTCAGGCAGATCGCTCCATGTGGTGGTGGATAAAGTATCGTATGATAACATTGTCATCAATTCCGGCTTTCCACAAGGATCAACTTGCCCTATCCAAGCTTTGCAGACGATGAAACTCTCCATAATCTGCATTCTCTTCTATAATTCTAATTTCTCTTCAGAAAACTGATGGGAACTTACGACGAAGGCAAGTCAATGCTGTCAATGACGATCAATTCCGGCTTTCCATTAGGATCCACTTGCCCTATCCAAGCTTTGCAGACGATAAAACTTTCCATAATCTGCATTCTCATCTAGAATTCCCATTTCTTTCCAGGAAACTCAGAACTTACGACGAAGGCAAGTCAACCCTGCCAATGACGATCTTGCTGAAGAACAGCCTGGGCATTGTCGTTCTAGATGACAACCTAGTAAGGTAGTTAGTAGGCAGAAGCATACCTCCTCGCACTAGGTCGCCTACTAGGTTTTCATTTAGATCGACAATGGCCTGGGGAATCAAAAACCCAGATGAATTCATCGCCATAAAAACTTTAAAAAGTTTGTATTTCCTCTAGAAAAGCAAAACTCAGTATGCCTAATATAACTAACAATGTCTGGTACTACCATTTCCACCGGGACCACTATATCGTTGCTCGGTATTGCCATCAACAATTCCGTGCGGAGATCTATTGTACACCTCAACCGCTTTTCACGATCTACAAAGCACATACACAGGCAGTTTCAGATGACGGTTCTCACATTATGGGGTTCAGCACCCAAGTATACGCTGATCCTCTTAGATTCTATCCAGAGAAGAGCCATCCGCCCGGTGGGTAATGCCACACTCACTTATACGTTGACTCCTCTAAAACACCATAGGGAAATGGGCGACCTTTCGTTTTTTCATATATACTTCCACGGCAAATGTTCCTCAGAAATCGCTGCTATCATTCCATCACTAGAAATACCACTCAGACAAACTCGACAGGCCCAGTCAGCACATCCTCACGTTGTGAACCTTGAAATAAGTCGAACAACACTCACACAAAACTCATTCGTCTATAGAACGGCAAAGCTTTGGAATTCTATGACAGTGCAAGTATTCCCAAGAACTCATAACCTCCGAATGTACAAAAAAATTCAAACACCTCCCTCCTCCCCCTATCCTTTTTAGGAACGCAAGATGCTCTTGGAACTTCCATTTTTCACTATAAATGAAATGAAATGAATCATGCAATGTTGCCAAACATAAGGACGCAATAAGATACTCCAGATAGAAATACTGGAATTTCGTATATTTTTCGTATATTCCGCTCTGGCGGAAGTCTTCTGAACTACAATGTATATTTTCTGTTCATTTACGCATAATATTGCGTCCGATGTGCTACAAGACTTTTCCGCATATCTCGAGTATTTGGACAGATAGACCAGTCAATCTCAGATCTATCGATAGATGGAGGCATGGGCTTTCAAAACACATTTTTTTACATTATTTCAAGCAGTTCTATCCAAAGTTTAACGTTGATGACATTATCGCGTCCATATATGGACGCAATAATAAATGTAAAAGGGCAATGATTGGACGCAATAATGATAGCAGGATGTATATATCAGTTTTTATATGTATGACAAATTGTAGAGGTCAATAAAAATAATAAGTTTCCATCGTTCAAGTTCAAACCTCTTGATTGGGTATGAAAGTATTGAAAAGGAATATTCTCAGATATATTATGAACATCATAGATCTTAATATGTGAACATGAAAAATGGATATATATATAAATACATTGAGAATTCGCATTCATTCGCATGTATGTACATAATATAATTCTGAATATTCAACAGAAAACAACTAATTTCCTGGCTATTTGCCACGTTGAACATTGAATTATATCTGTTGAACATCCAAAAGGAGAAGATGAAAATTAAAATTCTCTGAAATATAGAATTGACATTATACAAGTATACTTCTATACTTTTCAATAAATAAATAAATTCTTTATTCCAGTAAGACCAATTTTACATGGTATTGGAAAAGTCAGTAGTTACAATTTAAAAACATTATGTATATGTATGTATACATGTGTAAAGTGACATCAAAATATATAAACAAACATAATAATGGGTAAAAATAGTACAAAAACAGGGACATGAAGTTTATCTACTAATAACAGTAAACCGACTTAACACCAAATTTTTTTGGTTAAAATTATTATACTCAGGGACACTATAAAACAATTTTCTAACAAGAAGTTCTTGAGACTTTTTTTGAAACAATTAATATCTTGTACATCTTTCACAAATTGTGGTAGTTTGTTGTACAGTTGTATACCAGCATAGGATGGAGATTTTTCATAAAATGATTTCCATTTCAATACTGAATATATTGAAGTTATATTTTTATATCATTATACATCATATTATTTATCCGATCTGGAATAGAATGTGAATTCTAACAAAATGACTGAGTTTTCCACTCATTGCGCTGGTTCAAATATTTTTCGAACTTCCGCGCTTCCTGGCTTGTAAACTTGATCGATGCTCTCCTAGAGTTCGAATTTTTTAGAACCGTGGTTGGGCGACGGTACGACTTTCATAACCTCGAATAATCGGTTGGATTACGAATATATCTTATCTCATTGAAGTCGAGTCTTGAATGCATAGATGAGTGATGTTAATGTAGAATAATTTCAATAATCGCATCATATGTATTTGATTGGAATTCCATTAAGCCCTACCAATCCACTAGCCTCAAACACCAAGATCATATAACCTCAATCTTGGCCATCAATATTATTATACAATGCCATGAGTCATGTATGATGACCTACCATTAGTAGAACTGTAGTAGGAAAATTATGTCAAATACTATGTGATCAATGTTATTTCCAGGAATTGTTCAAAAGAATCTGAGGAAATTCCTGAAGATCTCATTCTGAAGCTTTTGCAGATCAGTATTAAAGGATCATCGGACAATGATAAAATCAAAATGAATACAGTACGCGCCCTAGGTAATTTGATGCAGTTGTTCACTGATCGAATGATGGAAAAAAGTAAATTAGTTGAAGCGACAGAACAAGCATTTGGGGCCTTGGTTACAAGTTGTACCACTGGTGCTAATGTGAAAGTGAGACATATCCATAAATGCCATAAATTTTCGGATGATAAACCGTTTTGTTTTAGGTGAGGTGGAATGCATGTTATGGTCTGGGAAATGCCCTGAAAAATCCTTGCTTGTACCACAAGTCGAGTACTACTTGGCAGGTAATATTTGTTTTTTTTCATGTTCATTATTATGATTAGATTATTATTAGATTAAAGTGTTTGGGATCACACGTTAAAAGGTAAGGCCCCCGTCATTCCTTGCTCGCACAAGACTCTCAAAGACTTCTGAGGGTTGCTCGTAAGGGGGCAACCGAATGACGGATAGAACAATTTTAGAACAACAACAATTTGATGGTATTTTGATATTCGAAAAAGTTTATCATTAGAGTAACGAAACATTTTTTCTTGGTGATCTATTATACATGTCCGATTACTGGTATGGCGGAAAATTGACAAACAAATGACTGAAGAAGCAAAAGGTGTGATCAGATGGCAAGGTATCGAGAAAAGTTATTTGAAAAAGTTGCTCAAAATTAAATTTCACTGTAAATCTATTCAGGAGAAAAAAATCATAGAAATAGGCAATCCAACTGAGGTTATAATTAATATGGCGCCTGGTTGGTACCATATATAAAATTAATAGAATGATGTTACTTGAAAAATCAAATTCTCACTGTTTGTGATTTTCTTCGATTATATGACTTGTACTTCTGTACATTTCGCATTCGATTTTTATAAGCATCATTATGCCCAAATAGGCACGTTGTATAATATACCATTATGATTGTGATGAAAATAAATCACCAGGTGTTTTCAATTTGATTTCTCTTCTCGACAGTTTGCGGCTGGTTGAGTGAAGCTGTAGATATATTTATTTTAGAAATTGGTCTTTGACGCCCTGGCGGAATTGGTTGTGAGTTTCCGTAACTTCAAAGTACGCATAAATGCTGCCTTAGCATTATCTTCCCCCACCCTTAGAGAACATTACGGGCGGTTTTACTTTCCGGTATGGACGGCGCTGCTGAAAGCCTTGGAAAACTCTCAGCACATGGAAGATTTCACCGAATACAAACACAGGGACCATCTTATAGAGCAGGTGAGACTTTTCAGCACCAAGAACAGTTATCGCAAATAATGGGAGTGGTTATTTGTAGGTTTGCTTGTCTTTAGGTCATCTAACAACTTTATTGCGTGAGGATGATTTGTTACAGCTTCAGGGCACACTTGACCTTTACTTTGACATTTTAAAGGGTCATACGCATAAAGTATTGGAGAGACTTGTTCCCGAAAAATCTACCACTCTGTCATCAGCTTCTTTTGCTTTGAATCGGTTCAGTAAACTAACTGGCCTTAGTGAAGACCAAAAGCATGTTTTGAATTGTTTAATGGATGTTTTTGTACCAGAAGTTTAGGTATGTTATTTTTTTCAACCAGAGTTTATAATAAAAGCAACATATTTTGAAATTATTTTATTTATACGGACAGTAACCATCACATTAGTTTAATACTTTGGTTTTCATCAATCTCAGTTTTAAGTAGGTGAAATATTAAAGTTTTTTTGGACATTAACGTATCTTTCCCCTAAATACTGACTAGTACAATAAGTAAAATTAGCATAGACCTAGAAATTGAACATTTACAATTATTTATTACCCTTTCGTCATTTATTTAACCGAAATACTCCTGATACTCCTTTCCTAATACTCCTATTTTCTGGTGCCTAGAAAAAAAAACAATTGGATCAACGATAAGACATAATAATTATGAGAAGATATTCAGAACCCAATGGTATTTTGCTCGATTCTTTCACGAAACATAGGAAGAATTTGTTAACGTGAACAATCCATTATAAACAAAGCGACTCATTCTAACGTCTGCAGCTAGGTGTTTTTTGCCAAACTGTCAAACTATTCATTAATTATAATACGAGCATTTCAAGATTAGTCACAGGAATACAACAATAAATCTTGGAAGTGTGAAAAAATAGTGTCACTTTACTTTTCATATGAAAAATTATTATACTGTTATCTGAGCAGATTGCTTGTACGTGGCACAGCTCTAAATTATTGTACTTACATGTCTTGCGCCAAATAACATCCTAGCCTTATCTTCTTCTTGAGGTGCAGAACTTTCATCTGAAGCATCTGTGTTTCTCTTTATTTTAAGTTTTTGTTTGATGGCCTAAAATAATTCTAATAGTTGAAATCGATATACCCATCACTTGATATACAAGGTGACTCAGTGGCTAGTACCATAAATTGTAGGGCTTGTATACAAAACAAAGCTCTTCGATCATAGAACAGACTAAATTGGTACTATAGTCGGGACATTTTGGGAAGGCGAAGTCTACCATAAAACGTTCAACTCCAACTGCTTGATGGTGATCAGAATGAGTGACAGTTGTCCGACCAGCCCTAATTACACTAAGACTAATGTCTTTGAGAATACAGGTGGGTGGCAAGATTACTGTGTAAATGTGAAGACAGGATCGGATTTGGAATTATTAATTACATATTATTATTATTCATTAGAAATCTCTTGATATAATCCAAAACATTCAACACGAGTTTTCTACTTTGCTCATTCAAAACTTCACGTCGAGCCATTTTCAAATTCCGTATCACAAGCTGATAACAATAGAAGAAGTAACACAATACACGTCACAGATGAACACATCCAAAATGAGGCAATTGTCAGGCCAATTTCGTGTCCCTCTCTGTTTATCTACCTGGTTTTGAAAAGAAGTACCTCTAATCGGCCATCCTTCTCTGGTATAATCAATTCCTCCTTAACGTTAATCGTAGCTCAAGTTGGGGACGTACCTGGGAGTATCTTAAGGTGGGAACAGACCAAGCAAACATTGTAGTGCAACAGTTGAACAACAGGTAGGCAACTGTTGGCCAACATGTTTCCGTGGGAAGAAAACAAACACAGTGTGTACGTATTGCGCAGCAGTTGCACAACAGTTGTGCAGCTGTTGCCGAACTGATGGTCGGTGTTCGTCCCGAGGCGGTACTTCAAAGGAGATGTTGCCCAACAGTGCGCACACAGCGTCTGCATTGTAGACGCATCTTCTTCGTCGCTCATGGTGCCTGACTGAACGAACACTGGACAAACACCGGAGAAAGCAGGCTGGTCGATGTTGTCCAACAGTTTGTCGAAAATGGTTTCTCCCCACGGAAGCAAGTTAGCCAACAGTTTCCTTCCTGTTGTTCAACTGTTGCACAACAATGTTTGTTTGGTCTGTTCCCACGTTAATGCACCTCGGGAGCGAACACCGATCATCAGTTCGGCAACAGCTGCACAACTGTTGCGCAACACGTACACACTGTGTAAACTTGTGTGTTTCTCGAGTGTTGTTCCACTGTTGCACAACAATGTTTGCATGGTCTGTTCTGTGTGTGTCTCACCAAAGTTTTATGGCGGATTTCGCCTTCCGAAAATGTCCCGACTTTACCCTAATTGTTCGGCTTGCATAACTTTCTTAATTCGTGTACGATTTTGGTGTAACTTCGACAAAATCGTATATTCATGTTTCGGAATGTTAGCCTGAAGATTAGGTGCTAAGAAAGGCTGATGGCTTGATCATTATACAGGGAAAAACAAAAGTTACTATTTCACCCTCAACTTCTTAACACCCTGAAAAGATGCGTGGTTAACTTAGCTTCATTATGTTTTGGATTGAAGTGTGATCCCTTTTTAACATAATGGTTTTTGATTCACGTCGATGACCTTTATTTAAGAGAAGATACAAGTGTTTTAAGAAAGTATGTATTTTTATTATATTTATCAACTATAATTCAGAACCATTCTACAACCTTCTGCTTCATCATGTTTTGAATGGAATTGTGATCAGTTTTCGTCTCTTCTTAACACAATGGTCTAGATTCGCGCCAATGTCTTCTTTTTAAGAGAAGATTCAATTGTTTCAAGACAGTACGGATTTTTTTATAGAGCATCTTAGGGATGAACTCATTCGCCTTCATCCGGCCTTGTCAGAGGCTCTTCAAGAGCTACGTTTCGCCCGTCAAGGAGAATTATAGGTAATTCTTCAAGACCACTTGAGATTTGTTCAACTCGATGTCACGGCGGTTGAATGCTGTAATTGAAACTCGAGGAGGGCATACTACTAAAGTTTCAATCTTCTCCTGAAGATGGTAAAATAGTTAGAGAAACACGTGTCGAGGTGTAAAAAATCGGTTTGGTTAGTGGTAAAACAGTGTGTAGTGTATTATCGCGCCAAAGGTTCCAGTCATCGATATATAGACACTAATTGTAATTGACGTATAAACCATCAATAGTTTTATCGCTGAAAAACTAGGTTGGTTGGTAACGTGTGGGTCAATTCAACATCTGATTGGTCCTCGAGAACAAGATTGGAATAGTCAATAGTCTCTGTCTTAAAATCTTCACTTCTTTGTGAATATTTGATGTTGTCCGTTGTCATTTCATATGAGAACTAATAGAGATAGTAGTGGATAATACTATATGAGATATTCACTTGCGTTTAAGAATAAGATGAGACGAAGAGCTGTCGGTATCCTGGTGGAATGACAAATAATGCAAAATGATATCTGAGTGAAAATAATTCTGAAAGTAAAAATTTGTTGCACCACTGACCTGTGACAGTATCACTCTTTTACTATCATTCCTGATGGCCATCAACAAATCTAGCCAAGTCCATGTCATATTGTGATATTCTAAAGTTGGTATGATCAGAGAGTATTCTCTCAGGTCTTCAAGATTCTTCTCTTTGTTACCTTTGTAACTAACTTTAACTGGAACTTCAGGTATTTTGATGTAGACAAACAATTTATTCTGTTCAGCTCTTTCCTGTAAAAGAATAGTATATTGCTTTTGGGTGTATGATAAATTGACATTCATCATACAGGACGATTCGAAATTTACCTTCATTTTCTCAACGTCATCAATGTGGACATAAAAATTGGAATCTCTGTTGCGTTTCGATTTGTTTTTCTTGCCCTTCTGTTCTGAATCGCCATCTTCACTAGCGCGATCGTTATATTCGATATTTTCGCTTTCTCTTTCGGGAAAACAGAATTTCATCATTGTTCCGTAGAATTTTTTCGTCAGACCAATGGTGAGTGGTACCAAATTTATTTCAAAAATCTCCTTCACCGAGATGCCACCGACCGGTGGTTTTTCACGACAGAATATCCTCAGAACTTTCTGAAAGGAATATATTATATACATTAATACTATACCAGCAGTCCAAATACTTATTATAGTATTGGATTAGTATTTCATTATCATTCTTGTTTAAATAGTTTATTGGTTCCTATATGTTTCACTTTTGTACACAATTTATTAGGAAAAGTGCTTTGTCGGCAGGAAATGAAACCGACCAACATTCAAATATGTGCACACAGTAATTTTTCATGGTAGAGATACTGGATGGTATTAGTTGGATAAGAGTTCGGACACAGCTGAACTTCTGTCCTTTTCTATTACAATAGTTGTGTGTGCATAAGAGAATAAAGACATATATTCTGCTCTTCGTCTTTTCAATTTCCCTAGTTGCGCCTGATTGTCAACTACGATTTTAGGTTAGATTTTCTGTCAAATCAATCATTGTCGTAGATGGAAAATAGATATAGGGTACAAACACCCCCTTCAATTTATATAGTGATACACTTTTCGCAGAATAATAGTTATAAAAATTAAACGAGTTCATGTAGCAACATTTTAATATGACAAAATAGACCCATATCTCATAGCTAGTTCCTTATTGAATGTAAAACTGTACCCATAGACCAACCAAAATAAAGAGACTGTTCAAAACATAGGAAATTTTGACCATCAAGTTTGTGCGCAACCCAGTCGCGCATGGAGGCGCTGTTCGCAATCGACAAACGAGTCATGACATGAAACATTTTGAATTTCGACATTCGACAGCACGACAGTATAAGGCCTGTTCGTATGTGTTTGCTCTACTGGTTAAACTTACTTTTTTTTTCTATGACTTTCTCTGTTTATATCATGCTATGAACAGAGACAACTATGGAAAAACATCAACTTCAGCAAGTTCCATTTTAGAACGAAGGAACAGACCAATGGAATACAACAGATATTGTTTATTTTCCGAGTTGATGTTGATACTGAAATTCGAGTTTCTCTTTCACATTAATTTTACTTTATTTCCGAGTTTATTTCTATTATTGACAAGGTGAAATTGATAATATTCATGTAGGTTGCACGTAGGTACATTTTTATAGAAACATAAGTGATATTCTTTCATTCTGAACTAACCGAAATATGAACGGAACTGAATTAAACATACATTTTATCGAATTGAAGAAGGTATTCTAGAAGAACGCATGTTAACTGATTTCAGTTTTATGTTTGTTTTATGTAATATTTCAGTATTTCAGATTAAAAGAATATCACAGATGTAAAAGTGTGGTGAGATGTCAAGACCCCGTGCATATTCAAAATTCAAGTGTGCAAGCAAGTGTTGAATAAGTTGATACCTAAAAATGCCAATAAAAATTGTGAAGAAGATGTGACTACCAAATTGGATAATCTCAACTCATTTTTTACTTGCCCAGTGGAGCCAGAGCCATCATCAGTTCTTGTCAATGAGTTGAATAAATTGGTTATTCCAAATTTCGATATTGTGTTTTCTAACTCAGAATTTGACACCCAGGCAACATATGTAGCAGGACAATTTTTTTTCAGAGTTAGTTATTCATTTATTCATAATTTTCATCATTTTTGTTTGTTTCCTTTTTGTATGATGTCTAGTCATTATTAGGCTGAAGAGTTTATATCTTTTTTTTTTCAGAGTTTTATTTACTTATTGTTTCATGATATGTAGTTCTCTAGTCTTGGATGGAATAAAATATATTTTTTCAAGTTTTTTAATTTTTTTTTTTGGAATTTTCTCGATTAATACAAATTTTTAAAGTAAAGGTTTTAAATAAACCGCCTTATCTCAATCGGTAACTAGAGAATCTGTTTTATCGATCATAGTAACTAGTTCCACCCAGTTGCCAAGTGTGTCGCTCTAAACGTGGTGCCAACTTTTACTGCAGGTTTGACAACTCTCTTTTTATTCGTTTCTCTATGACTGTACCCGAGTGATAAAATTTTAAACATGAAGATTGTTTTGATTTTCCACCTCTTGCTGCATGCACTTTTCACTGATACATTTTGAATTTGGTCGGACGATGCAATACACTTGATTTCCCCAGTTTCGTTCTCAAATTTCCAATTTCATTTCGTAGTTTTGCAATTAATTCATTAGTCTGTTTTTCATTAGTCTGTTTTGTAAATCAATGGAACAGCAGATTCTCTCAAACGGATCTTATAAATCTTCTGTTTGAAAATGGGCCTAAAATATAGTTTCATTCCAATCTGCTGTTATATGAAGTGAATTTTAATGTATGTACTTACCTCACGAGTTTTGCTTGTCTTCAAATTATTTTCCATCCAGGCCGTTTCATACATTCCTTCCATAAGGAAATGGTTGATATTTCCTTTGTAAAATTAGATAAATGAAATCTCCATTCCCTTCAGAATTATCGCAATTCATTACACAGCAGGACATTCATATTATATTTCAATTCTGACTGAAAACGCGCGGAACGACTATGATGCTGTTGTCACAATGCAAGGTGTGTAACTTAATAAATCTAAACATTCAACAACACCAACAGTTGTCATTTCTGTGTACGAACTCATATCTAACTAATACCATCCACTGACTCTTTATCGCAAGGTGTGGTGGCAATCTTGATGATACTCAATCAAATCGAATCATCTAGAAAATGGTTAGGCCGATTATCTTTTTTTATAAAGATGTTCCAAGAGATGGAAAAAACTTAACTGTTGATTAGTATCGGACTTATATGTGATAGGATTAGTCACTGCTCTCCTAGAGAATTTTGATAACATCAGCTTGTTGAATGTCATAAATACGAATCCACTTTTAATGTTACCAAAATTCCATTCGAGTCATAATAATTACCGTTGAGGAGTTATCAAGTATGAGCCCTTTCATTGAAAATGATTCTGTGTATTATTTGGTAAAAGCGAAGTCTCACTGGAAGTTGTACATAATACAACCTTGAAAAAAAATAGGGAGACGTTTTTTCAACATCCTGATACCTGAATCAAAGTTGCCGCCACGACTTCTCATACAGCAACTTATCAACTGAAATAATGGGCCTGTTTCAGCAAAGAATTTTATTAAATTATTTCGGTACTAACCTAGTTCACTGTCGCAAATCGTTTTTTCTGGACTGAATACTTACTGCAGATATCAGAGAACACAATACATAACAGAAGAATCAGAAAATCTGAGGATTATATTTGAATATTCGCAGTATTTTTATTCATTAGACTTGACTAGGTGATAGATAGCATTTGGAGATGAAGGTGACAGACGTGATTGACGTTATAGAGTTGGTTAGATTTATTTTTTTCCTCGATATTTCTGTGAACTCTAGGCTACGTTCAGCGGCAGGTCGGACCATGGTCAATTTGTCTCAATTCGTTCAGACCGTAGTCAGACTATGGATCAGACCGTGGTCCACGTAGTCTCATTTTGAAATGAGGCCAAGCATGGGCTAAATCGTTCAGTCCATTGTTTCCGTCATTTTCTGTCAGTCAACGTCAGTTATATCTGACATGAATTTATGACATGCATATGCATTTGAATTTGAAATGATTTTAATTAATGTTCTCGCGGGTGAGATAACATTTTCTTGAAATAGAAACGAGTTTGCTTCAGTTTTTTCTCAGAATACTTACTCAGTTTCGAATGATGGCGAGCAAGTGCAAGAGATATTGCTTTGTGCCGCAGTGTGAACAGAGTATATTATAAAGATACAAAATGTATGGCATACACAGCTTATTTCCAACCAGATGCAAAATCATACGAAGTGAGGCAGAACATATCAGAAATTGGGTACCCATTTCCAAATAATACGTCGGTCTATAGCAGACACTTCTTAGAAACAGATTGAAAAGGTAATTTCTTTCATTTTTTTATCTATATCATCAGTCGTGTTTCATTCAATGCTTTTCTTCTAGAGGTAATAGAATCCAAATGGTTTTGTCTGTGAAGCACATGCAATACCCTCACAGAATCCACCGACTACATTGCACCAAAATGTGAAATCTGTGACTAATGAGTGGTCAATTTGGTACAAAACCTCAATATGCATATGTCTTCAATCATTCTCCAATCTATATCAACCAACTCATACTCAGTAACAGGAATGGATCTGATCATGACAAAGATGCTGAGAAGATAGAAAACTCTCTTAAGTCTTAAGTTTTTGTATAATTTTCACTTGACCCAAATACACATTTCCAGCTTTGTATACTTGTTCACCATCTACCATCGGTCGATATCTATTACCTATATATATTTGAAAATATCCACCATATATCGATTCCAACAAGCACCATCTTTCAAAATCACTCTACTAATTCGCTCAGATTTCTGAATAAAAATGAAACATTATTCACTAAATACCGAAAAACCAATCAAACTTTGACACTCTGTATATCAGAAATGAATAACTTGCTGACATCATGTTTATAGAAACTTTTCTTCTCATTTTTGAAGTCAGCTCCTGAATTTTTTACATTTAGGTAATCGAGAAACACCCTGCATAATATTTTCCCCTGACAACTTTGACAGATATATTACGTTTTTCATGCATGGACCGATGTCGTTCAGACCTCCTTTGCTTATTGTGGTCCGACTACGGTGGTCCAGAACTGCCGCTGAACGTAGCCCTAGTTTCGGTTTTGATAAAATCTCGATCATTATTAGGAATATCTATACGGGGTGTTTCAAACTTCGATACCAAGATTTCAGGGACTTTTTCAAACTGAGACTTTGTCTGCAAACGCTTCTTTGCCGATGTGCAGAGCGTTGAAATTTCAAAATTTTGTCCTTTTTTTCGTTATAGCTCTCTCAGTTTTCGAGACATTCAAATCAAAATCAGAACATACGTCACGTACCTGTGAACCGGTTTCGCGACCATGTCTGACCGTTTAAATTTGCTCGTTCATTTCGGCGTTTTCAATAAATTTTTATAAGTACGATGAATTATTGATGGAAAAACATCTCATTATTTTTGAGGTTTTTCAGAGCTATATATTTCGCGATATTTTTTTCTAGAAATGACTGGGAAAGCTCCATCAAATCCACCCATAGTACCGAATCTATTGATCAGAGTGGAACTCTACTAGTACAGCATAATATAGTGTGATGTGTATACAAATCTGAACGGCCCTGATTGATGAATTAATGAATAATTTCCTTATTGTTTTCAGTCAGGAAATATTCATACAGGCACTTGTATAATTTCATGATAATCACTGATGAAACGGAGAAAAACTCCAAGAACTTTTATTTTGGCACCCTTTCGAAGCGTATATTATACTGGGTCTTCAACAATGATTGAGTGCCACGTGACCATTTTTGATGCGGCGTCTCTTCTCCACCCATGTTAAAGAGATACGAATGTATTCTTGGTTGCATAGTAATCTGTCACGTGGTTTCAATCATTGTTGAAGACCCGGTACGTAGTTTCATAATCCAGTAAGTTTACAAATGGGCCTACACGGAACACCCTGTATATAGACTTATTGGAATTAGACTGGGAGTTTTTTGGTGAAATAAGACGTATGCACCTCCACTGGGCGAGGTGATTTCGACGATATTGAGGACACACGAAAATTGTTGTACTTGAATCAATTGTATAAAACAGAACAGAAAATTTCAATAAAGAATATTCATGTCATTTGACTTGCAAACTCAGCTGTAACTTGATGGAAATCCATAGTAAATATAAAAAATTTCACAAACGATAGGATTTCGACAAAAATTATTATTATTAAATTATTATTTCACTTGAAGAAGCTACGGTGTTAGCGAAACATGTCGTGTGGTTATGAATTTTGTGGAAATCTTATCGTTTGTGAAGTTTTTTATATTTACCAAGTTTTGATTGCTGAATACGCTTGAATGTGAAGAAGGTATCTATTTTATTTTCATACCTTGTGTTCTATTGGCATGTCAAAGAGTATCTCAGTAGGACATATGACTTCCTTGTATATCTGATTGGGTAATAGATTCGTCATTCGCAAATAACCTAGTTCAAGTAGATGCTCCACTGAATCGTCACTCTTCGAATTTTTGGTATACCTGAAATTATGAACGTCAGTCTGTCGATTCTTATTTACTCCAGTCAAATATGGGTTTCACCTCGTAATGAGAGATAATAAGCTGGAAGTCAAATATGGGTTTCACCTCGTAATGATAGTTGATAAGCTAATTTAGAAAATTTCATGTTCTACAATTTTTATAATAGGTGTTAATATCATTGGAGCTATAGAAACCTAGATTATGGCACAAAACCGAAATTTGTGACCTCTGACCTTCAATAACTTACGGCGCAGACACGAGATATAAAGAGACTTTTGAGACAACTTTCAGAACATCAAAATGAAGATATATACGAGTTTCCAGCTTATTATCTCTCACTCCGAGGTTGACCCTTTTTTTTTCAAATGACTGGAGTAATTAGCTGATAATACTTCTTACAGGAAGTTGCTGAGTACCAAATCTGCTATTCCGATTTGCCCGTCTGCTTCCGTTAATCTCCACTGGGCATGCTTGAAACAAATCTCGTTGGCTCTCACTATAGTGAGAGGTTTGTCGCTTCTCGTAGTAGCTAGTCGGGCGTTCGCTAGCAATTGTGTTTCCTTATAGCAAGAGAGCATCATGTCGAGCTCTTCGCTCTGAGCGTTGAGTTGATTTTTACAGTCGAACATCTTGAAATATAAGCAAAAAGTTATTTTTTTGTTTTGATATAATGGCAACTTTTTGTTCACATTTTCAATGTTGACATTGATTGGCTTTCACAAAGAGAGAGAAACTCAAAGTCATTACCACAATAGTTCATAAAATGAACGAAAATGGTAGATAACGTGTATTTCCTTCATAAACTTGCGATTTTATTCGTCTATACGAATTTTTTCATAGATTTCGGGAGGATGTAATTCAATGTTCTGCGTGACATATAGCCAGGAACTATTGTGGTAATGACTTCGAGTTTCTCTCTCTAGTGACCATTGCATTCCACTTTGAGTATTTAGCTTCTTCCTAGTTGTTTGAATTTATTACCTCAAGAACCATAACTAACACAATACATAAACTAATCAATAACAAATCATTAATAGTTACCGATGAATTCTACTCAGTGGAAACAAATTCTTACTTCTCCCACTCAAAATTTAAATGTAACAACTACTTGAGGAGAAGTAGGAATTAAAACCGCTTCTTGCCAACGGGACAGCTTGGTTCACGGAAGGCTCAAGGTTTGGGGGCTGGTCTGGTGCAGGAGTATATGAAGGAGGAACAGGGGAAGTAATCTCAGTACCTCTTGGCAAATACGCTCCAGAGTTCCAGGTCGAAGTATTTGCAATACTGACGTTTGTCCAAGAAGTAAGTGGCGTAAGTGAACGTGGACCAGTTACCATTGCAAAGCTGATATTATGGTATTGAGATCCAATGGGATCACAACTGAATTGGTGTCCGAGTGTAGAAGTGCCTTGGAAAATATGGCAAAAACTAGGAAAGTCTGCCTCACGTGGGTCCCAGGACGCTCGGGTATCCCGGAGAATGAGGGGGCAGACAGACTAGCTAAGATCGGTTCAGGAACGACACCCATTGTACCAGAACCATTATTGGGAATACCCAATAGTACGGCTATGTCCTTCATGAAGGAAATGCTACAGAGGCAGTTCCTTGAAACATGGCGGGACACACCAGGAATGAGACAATCAAAGCTCCTCATAAAATCACTATAGTAATTTTCACGAAAAAGAGAGTACTGGAAGGATTAGGGTCACCAGTACTCAAGGGGGTAGAAATTCCGTTTGCCCTAGAGGCAAAATACTTTGGAGTCATCTTTGACCATAAGTTAACATGGAATCAACACCTACAAAAAATTGTTCAAAGAAGCCTTCAATCTGTGCAGACGAATGTGCGGAAAAAATGGGGACTGCAACCATGCCAGTGTCATTAGGCCCATGGTAGCATATGGGTCGGTAGTTTGGTGGCCAAAGACACAACAGGCTGGAGTGATTCGAAGGCTCAGTGCCATTCAAAAGCAAGCTTGCCTGAGCACCACTGGTGCAATAAAAACAACTCCAACAGCCTCTTGAACTTGCCACCACTACAAATATACATTCAAGGCGAAGCCAGAGCAGTCGTGAGTAGATTGTCCAGGGGTCAAGCACCTATGAGCAAAACGCACGGTAAAGACTAGAAGAAGCTATATGAAGAGTTGGAAAGCGACCCCATCATGGGAATGCCAACAGATGGCATAATTCCAAAATATTGCTTTGAAAAAACTTTTAAGATAAGTATAACGGACAGAGAGGCATCGAAGGAAGGTCCTCCTATCAATGCAGACATTGCTGTCTATACGGAAGGCTCCAAAACTGGCAAAGGGTCAGGTTAGGTCAACTCAATGCAAGTTAACTCATAGCTAGTATGGAACTACTCAGAAACCCAAAATTAACTGGGCAGTCAGAACAGACTGACTCTAGCATGGGTACCAGCACATACAGGGTACTTCACTTGCCCGAGCAAGATCAAACAAAGCTCTGAATGGCCTAGAACCCTTCTGTGGTATTGCGAAAGCTATACAAAAGACAAGTACCAAATCATGTATGCAAACCAAGTCTCAAGAATGGTGGAACAACTTGCCAGGAATGAGACAGGTAAAAGAGTTTATCAAAAAGCCATCGCCAACATTCACAGAATATCTACTGAGCCAAAAGTGAAGTACAACTAGAATACTAGTGGGACTCCTCACAGGGCATTGTAGGCTCAAGAAACAGATGAGTACGATAGGTCTGACTGAAGAGCTGCTGTGCAGGTTTTGTCACGAAGAGGAGGAAACAGAATTACACATACTTCGCCACTGTGAAGGCATGTCAAAACTAATGTTCCTTACGCTGGGTGAGGAAAAACCAAGAGCCCAAAGTTACACAGGGGATCTGAAATCTAGCCTATGGAGTCTCATAGAGAAGGCGGGGCTAGCCAAAGAACACTAAACGGTTTTGAGGGCAGACACAATAGATCTGAAAAGGTCGCAGTGTGGAGGCAGATAGCCCGAAGGTCCCACTCTCAATCTAATCTAATCTACAGGATAACAAACATTTGATTTTGGCTCTTTAGAATAATTAACATCTATTTGCATTCCATGATAGCAAGATAATATCCACGGAAATGGAGAAATACTGAAAATATTAGAATTTTAATTTTTACTAAATCAGTGAAAGCTGGAAAATAAATGGCTAGAAATGGTAATTTCTTTGACACCCTATGGACTTTCATCAATATGAGATAAGACAGCGTATATATAACCCTTCTATGCTTCTCATTTTAACCTATTTTATGTGAGAAAATGAAGTGAAGAAGCGATTGGTTCACATTTTATGAATTTGAAATTGATTGGTATCCATTTTATGATTCTTTTCACTAAAACTCAAGTCAATGTGCGCCTTTATTTTATGAAAATTAATTCAATTCGCTTCCAATGCATTGCATAACTCACCAGTCTTTCCAACTTCTCAGAATCCTGTCTGAGTTCAATGTCGTCTGGAGTTTCCTCTAATGCTTTGTTCACTAAATACGTTTCCTTCTCCAACCTCCTCAACTTGTTCTGAGTGCCCCGCACGAGGGTTTGTTGATATTGTATGGGTTTTCTTTGATCTTTGACGCTATGCAGTTGCAGCTTGAATCGCATGCGCGCTAGTTTTTCGAGCGCTTCCTTCCTATGAGGTTCGACGTAGAGTAGAAGGTTGTTTACGATGTCGAGTAACATGGCATACTGAAAGGTATTTGCACAATCATAATAATCCGTAGTAATATCACGAGAGTCAGAATGAACACAAAATAATTTGAAAGAACCCCACAAACGATATTTTCATAAAATTCACATATGCAATACCACAAGCCATTGTTACGACAGCTTGTAGCCTACTTATTTCACATTTTCAATATTAAATTTCTTGAAAAGGGGTATTCTAAGATGAAAAAAATTTATACATTCAAAGAAATATTGAAAATTCGCATTCTCTAGTAAATAAATGTGCTTGTTGGACATCAACAACCTAGAACCTCTAAGTTTTCCAGTTCCCTCTTGCCATCCCATACCGGTCGAGATGTCACTTCCTGGCTTTCTATTGCCTTCAGTACCGCTTGAATGTCTAACATAATGCGGATCTGCTCATTTTTCACGGCTGTCCTGTTATTTTCTTCCCGTCTGTATACCAGATATTTACCTATAGTATGGTGCTGAGTTTTCCATCATCCCATTCAGATCTCTCTGGCATAGGCACTCTGAATGAAGTGTCAAATATATTACGTATCGAAATATGATCTGTTCTCATATAAAGTATACCCTTGTTCACTATTCTGGCAATGCCCATATGTCCTGTTCCTATGTTACTGTCAATGCTTTGTACAAGACGGTAAGGTAAGGGCGCATCTAGTAGTTCAATATTATCATTGAATAGAGAAAATGTCGACCTCACAACCTTCCAACTCGCAAGTACGCGCAATTTGCTATGAACCGTCGAAGCGAGTAGACGTGTTTGTGTGAGCTCCGCAATTGTAAATTCACTTCTCAATATCAAGAACGCGAAAACTTCAGTACAACCTGTGCTTATTAGTTTTAAAAGTTAGAGTGATGGCCTTATCAACTAAAGATTTCCAAAAATTGATAAAAGAAGCAATGAAGGCGATTATTACAGATCAGTGCTTCATGGAATCTTTGGTGAAATCTGTGTCGGAGCACCTGAACGAAAAAATCGACGAAGTGCTTACCAAACAACAGGAAAAACTTAAAGAAGTAGAGGAAAAAGTCACAGCCCTGTCAAAAGAAAATAGTGTACTGAAGCTCAAATTAGAGAAACAGGAACAGTACCACGTGAAAAATTGCATTAGAATTTATGGAGTAGAGGAAAGTGAAGATGAGGTAACTGACGATATCGTGCATAATTTGATGAACAAAACATTAAAAATCAAAATAAATGTTGCCCAGAATACCGAATTCTCATATCGTGTTGGTCCAAAAACTGCAAAAACATCAAACGCCGCTAACAAAAAACCCCGAGCGATACTAGTACGTTTTTGCAACTACCGAGATAAGCTGAAGGTGATAGAGAGCAGAAAGAACTTGAAATCCAGTGGCGTGGTAATCCGAGAAGAACTGACTAAAGTTAAATCAGAACTCTTGAGAACTGCTATCAATAAATATTCATCAAAGAACGTCTGGACTTGGAATGGCGAAGTTTTCGCAAATATCGACGGACAGAAGAGAAAACTAACGTGTGGAAATGAAATGATATAGCACATGAAAGTTTTGTTGAAGAGCTGTACAAATATCCGTGAAAGCTTTGAATTCATTGAATTTCTCTTTTTTTTCTTCTTCAATTTCATTCTTCATTCAATAATAATTATACTCATATCAATAATAAATATTTATATACATTTATATTATTCATTTACAGGTAGAAAGATTAATTTTTAGATTTATCATAGGCAAATATAATGGAACCAAATAGTATCACATGTTATTACCAAAACTTCAGAGGATTGAGGACAAAACTGAAAGATTTCAAGGTAGGCACTGAGGAAGAAAGTTACGACTTGATATTCGGAACAGAGACTTGGTTGCACGAGGGTATATATGACTCGGAAATTGTTAATTTAGAAAAGTACAAACTGTACAGAGCTGACAGAAATGCTGAGATAACCAAAAAGGTAAGGGGAGGGGGTGAAGTCTGGGGTTTGTGCTTAGGAATAGCAAACATTTTCGAAACTGGGAAACAGTTCGGTTTTTATATAATTCACTGGTTAGACCTAAGCTAGAGTATTGTTCTGTAATTTGGCACCCAACATCAATAGTACAAACTCAGACATTAGAAAAAGTGCAGAATCGCTTATTACGTTACCTCTATTTAAAAAAATATAATGAATACCCAGACTACGTAACTATACGATCACTCAGGCTTCGAAATGAGTTCAATATAAAAAGCTTGGAAACTAGAAGACAATTATCACTTGTGACCATGTGCTATAAATTGTATAAAAAAATGTATAACTGACCTAAACTAAAATTACTTCTAACGGTAAGAATCCCCTCTCGTGCAACCAGACTCCAACAATTTTTCGAAATACCTCTCCCTCCCACACGTAATTATTGTTCACCTGTTACTACCATGGTGAAACAAACTAACAATACTTTGCAATTATCAGATCTCAGTTTTGATCTCACTCCAAAGAAATTTTTTGTTGGACTCCATCAATACCTATCTGGACCTACCTTAATTTAATATATATACTATGTCAATTTACTTTCAACCGGTTTTTTGAGTATTAATTATTACCTGTAAGTATGTTATTAGCTTCGATTATTAGCTGTAGATATATACTATTTTTCTCATGTAATTAAGTTCTTGTAACTTGTTTGAGAAATAAATAAATAAATAAATAAATAACCTCTGGCGCAACTTGTAGTCGAAGTCAATCATATGAAACGATACACAGGTATAAAACCAATGACATGAAATCTGAGCAGCTTGAAGTAGATGGCAATGGTGAGGTTGTAGGCCATGTCAGCTGTGCACCTTTGCTTATTCATTCTCACTGAGAAATTTTTGAAAACCGTTATTAAGATGCCTCAACGTTGTATTGTGCCTTGGTATTCCTCGAGGACGTGTGTTATAAGCACAGTATACAGGTACACTGTAACCTCACATATTATACTTATAATTTGTATGTGTTCCATGTCATTTAGATCATTTTTTTTTCTAACCCCACTAGTGCTGCCATGCTGGAGCAATATCGGACCTTCCTACCAATGTCGCGTCATTCGCACTTTCGAGGTCACTGAAAATCCACTTATTGAGTGAATCCACTAAGTGCTGCTGGCAGACCAATGCTGCTCTTGTCCTTATGCTGTCATATTAGGCACTCGACCGCAGAAGTGACCGCTTGACGTAAACCCAATACAGGCACTTATTTCGTTACTCCTCAAATTGGAGTTGAAACATGTACATTTTGATTAGTTGCCAGATTTCGTCCTCAAATTTGACATGTGGCGTCTAACGTATCTCGTAACTCGTAAAGCGAAGAAAATTATGCGTTTTCAAGGAGCAATCTTAAGTGTATATTATAAGATATATGGCCAGGATGTAAATGACCAAATTTTGAAGTTTCTATTTGTTGTCCGAAACGTCAGAAACAAATTGCTGCAAGAGTTTCGATTGCGTGAAACGTTCATAAATTACAAAACCTCTCGGCCTACTATCCTGATTATTATTAGAAAAATTTGTAAACAGTTAATTATAATGACCTACTTGTAATGAATTAGTACAGACATCGAGGTCGTGGTGCATAAGAGTGAAAGCATCCACAGCGGTCTCTCGGCTTTCCCAGGGTCCCACTTCTTCTTGTGGCGGTGGCGGTATTTCAGCAATACCTTCTGGATCGACACTTATGTCACCATAATCAGCGTAGAAGAATTCACATTTGCACCGTGACACGATTCGTTGTAGCTATAATATTAATGAGATGAAATAAAAATTTAGGTTTCAAAATGAAATAAATGTACCTGTCTGGAATCACTGGGTCCAACAGTATCGCTAACAACTGCACCAACTGATACACCACTTCCTACCATATTAGGAACTTCTGATGGCTCCGAAATCTCTTCACATTCTTTCTCCTGTATGTTGTTGACAGTAAGCCACATAATATTTTCTACAAAAATCCAATAAAATACAGCGAATCGAAAATAAAAGTGTCACCTATAACAATAATGATACAATTGAAGTTCATGAGTTATGATAATTTGAGAATATATGTCGTCTGTTTCTTATGAAATATAAGAATCCACCAAAATTTTGTTATATTTATTGAGTAAATCATGTGTTCACGAAGTCGCTAGGTGAATTTACTAGTTCAGGGAAAAGACTAGGAACCACAAATCATGTTAATTATTTGTCTGTAGTTTGACCCATTAACCTGATGAAATTTTATAATATATTCAATACACATTTCAAGTTACGACGGCTCATAAAATGAACCTGAAGATTTCGGTAACTGCACCTAACCTTAAAGTTATATTTATGTGATGTATCCATTTTAGACACTCCAACTGAAAAATATTCGGAACTTTTGACACACAAGTTGATATAACATTGACTGACTCATTTTGCAGTACATCTTAGAAAATTGCTGCTATTCCCCTGTATGTGTTGAATTTCTTTATTTTCTATTAGATTCCGTGACTTAACCCTTTGACTCACGGTGTCTACAATTGTAGACACTAACTTTCCAGTATCTGTGGTAACAACGACTCGCTTCGTTTCGCATTTCTACAACACTGAAGACATTCGTAGATGTCACTATACTCATATGTTAGCCAGTTAGCAGTGACATCTGTCAGATACAAGTAGTAATATATACCGCAGCGTCCTAACTTCGTTTTACATTCCATCCAGGTAAGTTCTTATTAATTCTACAATTATATCGAAACTTTCTGGCAATCCAATCAGTGCTATGTTATTTTTTAATCATAAATGATTCATCTTGATGCCTTCATATTTATTTTCGTGTAATATTCCGCCTAGGGGTTGTGACTGGCCCCTAAAATCTCGTGTCTACATTTGTAGACGTTTGTATTCAACGAACTGATTATCTGTTTGAAATAAACACTGAGGATGATATTTTATGCTTTAGATATAGCACTCATAAATTCGTGGACAGAGTACAGAAAAGACTCGCAGCTTGGTCGGTCAGCAAAAAAGATTCTAGAGTCAGAATGGAAAAAGAGTAGGTGCTTATCAAAAATGTCAAAAATTACTTTTCCCAGTTCAGCCGTGTCGCGGTGAGGCATCATGTAGATGTACAGTTGGACAATGTGAATCACATACCAGAGCACACTGGAGTATTCCTTCCTGGGAGATGTAAAAATGTTGGTTGGCAAGAGCAAGTCTCGATGGATTTGGGCCTTTAGAAAAATCGCAACAATTCACAAAGTTTGATTTGGATTGAACAGTCCTTTTCATACTTGATTTCATGTAACCATTGTTTATTAATTTTTCAATGAATATCATAATTATGTTCCATTGACTACAAATGTCTACAATTGTAGTCACATTTTTTTTCGTACTTCTAGGAGTGTTGATTTGAAAAAAATGTTCAAAGTGTTTACAAATATCATATTTTGACGATATATGAACAAAAACAAAATTTCATATCTTAAAACAAGAACTCGTGAGTCAAATGGTTAAGGAATTTAAAATTAAACGAACCATCTGATGAATCATTTTCTCCAGCATTCACAGTTGCATAATACTGCATGCACTCCAAAGTTCCAACCCAAGTAGTTTTCGTCACCAATGTCCTATCTTTCCAGGCTGGCTTATGTATTCTTTGGACTATTTCTGCCTTTGCCGAACTCAATATCACATATCCCTTAGTTTCACAGCCTTTCAGTAATACTTGAGCATTCACTAGAGCAACTGAAAACAGAGTATAAAATCACCAAGAATATTTGATTGTCTACGTCAACGAAAATAATGACATAAGTACATATTTATTTCAGTTTGTCGGTTTCTATCAGAATCGAATCATTCATAATAATGCAAATAGAACAACATTTGAAAATCTATATCTACATGGGAAGAGTTCAGAAAAGAATTACAAGAAGATTTCAGAACAAGTATTAACAATTTTTGGACTACAATGAAGAGAATGAAAGGAGGAAATAAGAAAGAAATCATAGCAATAAAAGACAGACAAAACCAGATTCAAACAAACACAAAACAAATAGCGAAGACATGGAAAGATTTTTAGGAAGAAAAATTCAATTGAGATACCACAGACGAAGGATATGAGACAAAACAAGTAGAGGAAAACATACAAATTGAAGACATACGTAGAGAAGAAACAGTGGAAGCAATAAGATCAATAAAAACAGGTAAAGCAGGAGGAGATGATGATATAGAGCCAGAAATGATAAAATTTCTAGGAGATGAAGGAGTATCCTGGCTATGGAAAATACATAAGATGGCATGGGAATGAAAGGAAATACCAAAAGACCGGCAAAACAATCTCATTGTGTTCATCCACAAGAAAGGAGAACACCTGAATCGTGAAAACTACAGGGCAATATGCCTATCATCTAAAAGTTTCAAAACACACACGAGAATAATAGAGAAGAGACTGAGGCAATTCGTAGAGAAAGACTTGGGGAAAGAACAAGCAGTTTTCAGACCGGAAAGACAGACGAACGACAATATATACATACTGTGAAACTAGAGTGGAGGATGGAAAATGGAGAGGAACTCTTACTGGCGTTTATCGACCTCAGAGCAGCCTTTGATTCAATACAGAGAACAATTATTTTGGAAATGCCTCGAGGAAATAAAAGTACCGAACACACTAATACAAATCATAAAAAGTATTTACAAGACGGTAAAAGGAAGAGTACAAATATCGGGATAAAGGTCAGAATAATTCGAATGGAAGAAAGGTATTAAGCAAGGAGACAGCCTCAGCCCATTATTATTCATGATAGTTATGAATGAATTGATGGCAAGAACTAGGAGAAGAAAAAAAAAGCTTCAGACAATTATAGGATATCACAGACTACAGCCGGTTAAAATAGAAGTTTTAATGTATGCAGACGATATTGTATTGATAGCTGATACTGAAGAAAAAATGCAAGCACTAATTAATATATGGACAGAACAAATAGAACAATTGAAAATGGAAATCAACACGGAAAAGAGTAAGATAATGGTAATATTCAGGGTGTCCGCTAAAAGGAGGTCAATCCATTAACCATATTTTCCTTGAACGAAAACAATATGAGTTTTCAAATACCATTTTTCATTTCAGCCCTTCATATTTGATATACAGGGTGTCAAAGTTGGAAATGAAAAACTGTTTTGTTTTCTAATTACTCGCGTATTTAAAGAGATATCAATATCAAAATTGGTTCATTACTTCAGCACAAAGAGTTACATCGTGTGAGGAAAACAAAACAGAAAATAACTGTCAAATATTCAAAATACTGGGGGTCAAGTACACACTTACCCCCATTTTTTTTTGTACGTGCGCTAATGACTTCTTATCTATTTTTCTTCAAGTGTTCAATCATTTTTGAGTATTTTTTGTCTCTTGTAATATTTCGATAAAATTATTTGTTTTTAGGATAATTCGAAAAGTAATGGTTATTGTTTGATGCCTATGCGGCTTACGGTAATCTCATAATGTTCACATACTCCTATTTACTTCGTCGAAATTGGAAGAGGGCGTATTTTATTACGTACGAAAAGGTAAATATGGAAATACCGGGTGCTCAGAGCGAATGTAAAATGAAAGAAGTGAGGACACGTGTCGAATAAAATTTTTTTGCCAATCGAACGGCGTCAATCTTTTTTACGGGGTCTAATAAAAAACGATTTTTGGAATTTCGGGTGAATAATGATTTTAGGAGGATGGGGGAGGGTCGATTGACGAGCCCACCCTTTTATAGGATTATTGAATTGATTTCTTTCGAGAACAGCAAATTTAAAAAAAAAATTGGTTTGAGTGGTTTTGGGTGGTGCGGAATTTTTAAAAATATTTTCGAGCCTCTTCCCCACCGTATGGTATGTCGGACGCGAACGAACGGGAAATAAAATCGGAAAAAATTGAAAAAAAAATATTTTCGAAAATTCTTTGTGAAATTATGATATTCATGATTTTAATAGCTACTTGATGAAATAAATAGCAGATCAGGATTGTCTATGGATGTATGAAAGATTTTGTGCATAAGCCACATATTTTTCAAAGGCTAAGATTTTCTTTAATTAAAAGGGCTCGCATGTGTATTCAAAAAATTCATATCGAGCAATTCATTTAGACGTGTTGAATTTCTATCAATTTTTTTTTCGTAAAAATTATTTCGATACATTCGCTCTGAGCACTTGGTATTTCCATATTCACCTTTTCGTACGTAAAAAGTTACGCCCCCTTCCAGTTTCGACGAAGTAAATAGGAGTATGTGAACATTATGAGATTACCGTGAGCCGCATAGGCATCAAACAATAACCAGAACTTTTCGAATTATCTTGAAAACAAATAATTTTATAGAAATTTCACAGGAGACAAAAAATACTCAAAAATGATTGAACACTTGGAGAAAAACAGATAGGAAGTCATTAGCGAACGTACAAAAAAATATGGGGGTAAGTGTTTACTCGACCCCCAGTATTTTGAATATTTGACAGTTATTTTTTGTTTTGTTTTCCTCACACGATGTAACTCTTTGTGCTGAAGTAATGTACCAATTTTGAGATTGATATCTTATTGAATACGCGAGTAATTAGAAAAAAATTGTTTTTAATTTTCAACTTTGACACCCTGTATATCGAATATGAAGGGCAAAAATGGAAAATGGTATTTAGAAACTCATATTGTTTTTGTTCAAGGAATATATGGTTAATGGATTGACCTCCTTTTAGCGGACACCTTGTATAAGGAAGATCATACCAACACAAGTATATTATGCAAAGAAACAGAATTGGAAGTAGTAACAACATATGAATACCTAGGAAGTTTCATCACGGATGATGAAAAAATAGAACTGGAATTAGCCAATAGAGCAAGGATATCAAACAAGATATATTATTCATTGAATAAGATATTGGGAAAAAAGAATTGACGCAAGAAACTAAACTAAGAGTATATAATACAATTGTTATAACAACCATACTATACGCTAGTGAGAATTGGACCACGAGAGTAAATTAAATGCAATAGAGATGAGATACCTAAGAAAGATAGATGGAAAAACGAAGCTGGACAGAAAAAGGAACGAAACAATAAGAGAAAATCTGAAGCAGGAATCAATAACCAACAAAATAACGAAAAGACAATTGAATTGGTATGGACACATGATGAGGATGGAACCAGACAGAATAACGAAGAAGATACACGAAGCATAACAAAGAAGAAGAAGGGAAGACCATGAATGAAATGGATACAACAAATAACAGAGGCAGGAAGAAAAAGAGAGAAGTCGTTGAGAGAGATGAGGATACTGACAGAAAATGGGAAATCATAGAAACAATGGGTAAACGACACAACAGAATATTAGCCCAATTCCGACGCCCACGAGGGTAAAAGGAAGGGGAGAAAAAGGGAAAGATAGAGAGAATGAAAATCTATATCGAATTTTCAATGAAATGGATCATTTTTAAATAGAATATATGTCATATGTTATGGAATAATGGCAATGACGTGAAATTTTGCTTCTCCATAAAAATCTTTGGTAGAAGTCCATATTGCTCAAAGTGGAGAGAAATTTTCCAAAGGAAGGAAGGAATGCTCGAAGTCATCTCCACAAATTACCCTGTAACACCCGGTATGTCTTTACCAACTTTCTTCAGTGTATCAACATTGAAATTATTTTCAAGTTCATCATTGTATTTGTTAATAATGCCGAATTTCGATTGAAACTTGAATTTTTTTTCAATGGATAGGTTTCTTTAATGTCTGTCGGTTTTCGATTATGGCACTTAGATCACTTATTTCGGTCATTCTTCAATTATTGCTCAGTCAAAAATCGAGGGACGATGACCACACGATCGATGGACACTTACTCTGCCAATTTTTATGTAAAATGTCATCCTCCTGACAAGCCTTGACCCCTTGTAGGTGCTGTTGTCTGGAGATGGCCGAGAGGTCATCACTATATACAATAGAGTTGTTTTCTGCCTCGGCTATCAACTGTTGGAGCATGGTAGCTGCATGACCCGACTGAATTTTGCTGATTGGAGAAGGTGTGTCTTGGACCGCATTTGCTTGAATGGTCTTGAAAGAAAAATGTCGAGCAGATGAACATGAGAATCCAGAAGAACGAAAACAATTTATCGGTTTCAAAGCGTAAAGTAATCCTCACATTCTAGATACATTATCGAATTTCAACAACGGTATACTCACAATACGGTGTTCTTCATCATATTTCATTACAAGATTGTTAATTGTTACGTTAAGGTATTCGCATCACAAACTGTGCGGCCTCTGGTGTCGAACTTTATAACCTTCCCGAATATGACCAAAACACTAATTTATCATCATAGAATTTATAATTGTTTCTAGCAGATATTGATTTCTTTTCCCTAGTTTTTGAACTTATTTTGTGCCTATAATCTAAGTAAATGTTTTTTTAAAACATCTATCAAATGAACAAGCCAGTGAGAGTTGAATCCAGGAAGTATTTTTCAGTTTCTTTATACTCTTCTTTTATTTTTGGGGATATAGAATTATGTGAAAAAGCCCTACGAGTCGCTGAGAAGTGAAAAACTCATATGGCAGAGTACCTACATCAATTTATGTAGACCACTGTATGGCTTAGAATGTTACAAATGAAAAGCTTAGGTGAGCCAGGAATCAAACTTCTGCATTAGTTTTCTGAAAACTTGAATTCTATGTGATTTTATTTGATCTGAATTCAGAAACCAAAAATATCTGGAGATGGCATCAGCAATAGCCACAGTGAAGATTCCAAAGTTATCACCGGATTCTTATAGGAGTGTGCTCAGGAAGGGACCATGTTTATGGTAGAATACAGGTTTGATCTTGTTTGAGATGTATTCATTGTATACTTTCCTGAACAAATTGTAACAAGTAAACTTGAATAAACACATAGCTGTGTGAAAAGGAACACTTTGGTTGAAAGATTTTAAGTCATCACATGAAAACAGAAAAAAAATAGAGCAGGAAAAGTGTGCGGGTATATCTATCTATCTATTTATTGTGATACTTGAGTGGTGTGCGAAGAATCAAAGTAATCACGTGATTTCCTCCAAGATATTCATAATGAAGTAAATTCAAGTAACAACATTTTCTTGTAGATAATTGTAACTGTGTCAATATCTAACTAGTCAACTCCTTCCCGATTCATATTCTCAGTCACATAACCTACATAGTTTAGCAATATTAGGTAGGTACATACTATAGGTAAGTTAATGAAAACCAGCAGATATTAGTTTTGATTCCCCAATTACATGAAATAGATAAAAATTGCATCTCTCAATGCCACTCAATTATTTGTAGTTCTAAATTTCCTCAATCCTAATAAAAAGTATATCTGATCATATTCACCTGGATTGCAGCATTTGGAGTAGTGCTAGCTGGGTCAGTATTTCTTCTCTTCAATGGCGTTGAATTGTTATCTTTACGAAATCCTTTCAAAGCCTCTGTTGATAAATTCTTCTTCAGTCTCTGTAGAATTGAAAGTTCGAATATTGTAGGATCGACATGAAGAATACTGGTACGAACAGTATTTGCCAATATATTTGTAAATTTTTTTATGGAAATCCATAGTGATTGTAAACATTTTGTTCAGAGGAAAGGGAGCAATTTTTATTTTATATCCTGCTTTGAAATGAAAAATTCGCTAATCAGGGGAAATAGACTAAACTAATTAGTTTAGTTTATTTCCACAAAATTCTGAAATAGCTCTTGACCGAAACAGAAAACCAAGTTTTTGGGATGCAATTTTAGCAATTGATCTCACGTGATTTTCCCAAGAAAGGTTATTGCTGATAGTAATACCAAGCATCGAAATGGATGTCTTCGAAGGTATGGTCACTCCTGACAAACTGATGTTGGGCACAGTGAGATCGGCTTTTCAAGAGAAAAGGCATGCTTGAGTTTTGTTTGCATTGAAATCTACCAAGTTATTGGATCCCCATTCGAGAATTGTTGCCAAGTCCATATTTATGTTGTCAACATTTCTTCCTCGTTCGTTTCTGATTTGCTGGTATTGGAGCCCTGGAAGAGAAGGCGGTATGGAGGGTACTATCATCCGCGAAGCTGTGTACTGGACATGGAGTTGCTTCCAACAAATCGTTGATATGGAGTGTTGGTGCTAGAATTGATCCTTGCGGAACAGCATTTATGAAAAGAGAGTCAGATGAAACTCCGTCGACCACTAAATGGAGAGACCTGTTTGAGAGAAAACTATCTAGCAGAGAACATAGCTGGGGAGGCAAGCCATAAGATGGGAGAGATATCAAGTGCCACGGCTGAGATTTCACAATATTTTTCAATAGATTGCTGCCATATATGTGAGACGTAAGCGAGTAGGTCACCAGTTGATGTGTAACTTGAATGAATGAATCTAAACATTCAAAACCACTGACAGTTGTCATTTCTGTGTCAGAACTCTTAACCGACTAATACCAGTTATACCATCCAGTGACTAAATCTACTCACTGTACTCGAAATGTTTATGGACTAGAATGAAATGACTAAATGAGGTGCTCACCGTGGTCTTCATGAACGTATCGAAGAGCGCGAACGCCACATTCCTGTTGCTCTTCGTCCACGCCCCCCTCAAGTCGTACACCACCAGCCGATGCGTGGGCACCTCTTTGTCCCTCTCGTGGCTCGGCAGCACCGTTTCCCGTCCGTAGGACACCTTCGCCACAGAAAGAATAAGGCCCTCCGCACACGGGTCGATCGGCGACACGGGCGACGCGATTGCAATGACGTCACAATTTCTGCATTCGTACGATTCAAGAGACGGGAGTGTGTGTCATCCGCATATGGGTCGACGTTTTGTGTAGTCGACTCGCGTCTGATCAACTTAGTTACTCTATTTTTTGCAATTTCAAAAAGAAATGTTTCACTAAAAATGAGCAGTTCCAATGGCGAGGAGGACATATTCATATTTTTGTGGCACCGGCAGATCAGGAGAAGAAGAAGACAACGAAGTTTATGGGTGCATCCGTACATTGCACGAAATTTTCACACTCGAATTTTTGTTACTGCAAGTGAAATGCAAGAGAGTGACACAAAATTTCTGGCATTTTATGCAATGTCGAAGGAATCATATATTGATTTAGTGGAAACTCTTGCTCCAGCTATAAATTATATGGATTCAAATATGAGGGAATGTGTCAGCGCAGAAGAACACATACTAATAACATTGATGTAATATTCATATATTTCAAAAAATCAAACAGTTCCTAAAGTTGAGAGTATAAATTGGAAACATAAAATTATATGTTCTAGTTACTGAAAGTAAAGAAATGAGGTAGGTAACACAAATATTCACAATGATTGAAAAATTATTGAACAACTTTCTCCATTGAGACGCAAGATTCACTCGATCAAACTGCTTCCTTGCTAATCGCGTGAGACTGAAAACGAGGAGATCTTAAATCGTACGTTTGTAGACGACCACTAAACGACCCGTGTGCGGGATCCAGATGCTTTGCTTAGGAAGTCGAGTAGAGGGGAGACCGTCGTACTATTCGAATCGCGTCGCCCATGTCGCCGATCGACCCGTGTGCGGAGGGCCTAACATGACTTCTGGTTTGGAACACAGAACTCATAATCTTTATACGTTACAGCTAGAATGCGTATCCAATAGGCGACTGAAGTTAAGATAGCACCGCTAAGGTGGCCAGTTATGGAACTACATGAAAGTACATTGTTTAGAAATGATTCGCTTGCTTGTGTATATTATTTCGATGTTTTTAGTGATTTGAGCAAAGAGAACTCTTTATTTGTGTACTCTTGTGATTCCGGGGAGCTTTTCAGCAGATATTCGTTCAATGAAGTATATTTCACTACTTAAAATATATGATATTCGTAAAATAAATATGCCCCAATTTGAGGTTACGTTAGTTTGCATTTCATTCCCATTCAGTAGTGAAATTAATATTGCAAATTGAGTGGAGTGAATATGATGTTCACAAAGTATGTATTCGAGATGTATGAATTGTAGTCGATTAATCTACTTACATGTATTTATGAAAGATGAAAAGTCCTTAAAGCTGGAATAGTAGGAAAAATTTAACATATGTGCTTTGTGTTTGAGTGTTAAACTCCTACTGTAACTTTCCACTTCTGGGAATAAAATGCAATTGAATTCAATCTCGAAGTTGAGAGTGAATATATCAATCACACACTGAATGAAATTATCATTTTCTGTAAAATACAGTCCGAAAACTTGAATGAATAGCATGTGAAATGGAGCAATAATGATTTAAGATACTCTACTGAAAACTCCACAAATATCACAATGACCACTAAACTTTCGGTTAAATGCATGGAAACTTGAATGTAAACAAACATTCAATGTACTTTCCATCAGTTTCTTGAATATTCGCAAGAGGGCGTATCGCTCATTTTGAATCGCCTATCATGCATCAGCTGCAACACTGTAAGTGAACCACAAGTAGCAGCTAATAAAACTGGCAACATTTCGTTGTTTGTAAACAAACTGATGAAAATGCGCATAACATACGTCTCAGTAGTTTCTCTTCTCTCCTGTATTACCATACAGGGTGGGCCACCAGTAACACCTCGGTGTCTAGAAGGCTAACCACAAATCTTCTTGGAATTCTTCCTCTCTAGGAAGTTGCATGTTAACATAGGCTACCATTTGAAATTATTTCGAAACATACAGGGTGTCCCCAAAAACCATAAAACACTGAAGTTGAACTTTTTTCTATCGAACACCCTATATATTATTTCATTTTGAGATTCTCCCTGGTGAGCTGATTTCAACAATCCATCATACTTGGGGTCTAGCAGTTATAATTACTGAGATATAGGGTGTGAGAAATCGAGATTTTCTAAGTTCAAGAATTTTTTGTGTCTAAACCATTCATAATTGGTCAAAACGGCTCACATGTCCCTATCTCAACTTTTGATCAACTATCTACTGATATTTAATTGAAACAAATACAGGGTGGTGCAGAATTCAGAATCTTGATCACCCGGTATATGTCCTAATTAAATATCAGTAGATAGTTAATCAAAAGTTGAGATAGGGACATGTAAGCCGTTTTGACCAATTATGAATAGTTTCGACACAAAAAATTCTTGAACTTGGAAAATCTCGATTTTTCACACCCTATATTTCAGTAATTATAACTGCTAGACCCCAAGTATGATGGGTCGTTGAAATCAGCTCATCAGGGAGAATCTCAAAATGAAATAATATATAGGGTGTTCGATAGAAAAAAGTTCAACTTCAGTGTTTTATGGTTTTTGGGGACACCCTGTATGTTTCGAAATAATTTTAAATGGTAGCCTATGTTGACATGCAACTTCCTAGATAGGAAGAATTCCAAGAAGATAAGTGGTTAGCCTTCTAGAGAACGAGGCGTTACTGGTGGCCCACCCTGTATACATCCACGTAAGTCTGAGATTAACATAATTTGAACCATATTTTGTTCAGAAATTGATACCATAGGGTCGCGCGTTCTAGTCGTAGGATATAAAGATTATGAGTTCTGTGGTTTGGACGCATGTTTCTCAAAGTATCATATTTTGAAATTGATATTTATCGACCCATCAATTGATTTATTTTTCAGTGCATTTCTAAGCTTTATTATCGACATTTTTCTAATATTCGAAGGAATCATATTCAATATTTTACAAGTGATATACGAGAATGAACCTTTGAACAGGGTAGTTGAGTGTGAGGGAATTGTGAGTATATCTTTTCTACTAATATTTAAGTCAAGAATATCACTCCTGAATCTCAGTTTTTCGAACAGATAGGCTGGTGCTGGTGTCTTGTTGTTAATTATTTTTAAATACAATAGACCAGCATTAAGAAATCGCCTTTGTCGTACAGTCAACCACTTTTACTCTTCCCTCTTTCTCGATACTCATTCTCTAATTAAATTATAAAAAACTCTCACACAAACATTTTGAATACGTTGCAAACGTTGACTGTCATGTTCTGTGATGCGTAGACCGTAGATTGGGTCACAGTCGTTCATATGCAAAGATACAAGGTATTCACATGAAACCTTCTTTGTTCTATGGTCAAGTATATTTCTATAATTATATATTATCTTTATTATTATTCCCAAGAAACATATATGTTTATAGCAGGGAAAATTATGAAAGAGCAACTAAAAAACAAAAATTAGATAATCAGATAATCATTTTTAAATCATATACATAATACATATAATGTTGTTTCTTCTAGAGACTGTTGAATATAATTTCTTGAATTGATTCAGGATGATATAAAGAGAATCAAAGACATAAGTATTTTTTCAGTTCAGTTAACATATCTTTTTGTCTGGTTATGTGTTCGTGTTTATGACTATTGACTTCAAAATTCAGATTTGAATGTTTATAATTATATATGAGTTTTATGTTTGTGACTTTTATTATTTGGTTTAACATGTTTTTCAAATTTCAGCTGATCATCCATGTAAAGACGCAAGTTTTTTGCACAGAAAACTAAGCTCAATGGTTCTGTGTTCATCACAATATTGACAAGTTCTTTACATTTTTCCCTAGTAGATTTTCGACCAAATAGCATGACTTGTGACTTGCTGGAATTTATTTCTAAGCAGTAGTTTTCAGATACTTGGCATAATGCTTGTAGATCGTTGTTTAATATGGTATTATACTTTGTGTGACATCTGTGGAAGAGAAAGAATAAAAAATCTGTGTCATCTGCATGAAAATCACTATACGAAATATACGACGTGTAGATCGAAAATAAAAGTGGACCCAGAATAAAACCCTGTGGGATACCGGTTGTGATTTCTTGGGGCATAGATATATTATCTTTATACTTGACTGATTGCTTTCTCCCAATAAATAATCTTTCATTATTTCTAGAGATTTTTTGTCGAACCCAATATGCTGCAACGTTGCCAGTAATGGTCGGTAATTAATTCTATCGAAAGCTTCACTATAGTCAATGTGGACGAGCACTGTCAATACATTTTTGTCAGCTGCTGTTAGTACATATCGATTAAATTCTGATCTTGAACTATTTGAGTATATGATGAAAAAACATACGAAATAACAAATAGACGGAGTCAACAAACAGAAGGCAGGGTCTGCTGACCGAAACCACAATGATATACCTCAAATTTTTTTGAAACAATCTCTTGTCAACTGAGCATTCATATTTCTTATTCAACTAATTTTGTTCAATAGTCATGTTGTCATGCATCATTGATTTATGGTGCCACTTTGAAATGTTGATCGAAGAAATTGACAGTCGATGACGTTACAGTTGAAATTTGAAAAAAATACATAAATTTAATGCATACAACAGAATAACAAAGACCAGCAAAATATAGACATAGACAGGCACCAGAGAGCGCTTCAGTCGAATTCATTCCTGGATGAACCGCCTCGCCACCGCCATAGCCAGAATCGCTCTGATTGGGCCTCAAAATGCGCACATACATAAATCCAAGGTTATTCGATACCTCACCTTGGCCACGGACAGGCAGTAGCACTTCTCGACCGGTTGCCTCAGCGAAGGCCCCTCCACCTCCTGCTCCTCCTGCAGCGCGCTTTTCAGCCACATCTCGAAGTCGCTCAGCTCCGAGTTCATGTACACCACCGACCATAAGGCCTTGGGACGGTGCTTGAGGCCGTCGTCGATCGGTACAAGCGACAGCGTGTGTTCTGGAAGCGCGATGGAAGATTAAGTCTCTCTCTCTCTGTCTTCCTGAATATGGCCCCTTGTCTTACGACATACAACCAGCCCTTATTACGGAGAATCCGTCCCCATCCGGCCTGGATACCGGTATAACTAATAAACTCACAATAACCTAACCTCCAACCTGAAGACGCCGCCTGTATTCCACCGCGGTCGGAAGGCGAATCTCACGTAAGATTGAAAAAATCATTCGTTTCAGAAAACATCTCCTTGATTTATTCGAAAGGCCTATAGTAATTCCCAACCCAAGAGGCCAGCCTTAAACACTGTAGCATGCAGTGATCACGCATCAAGATCGTGATTACTGATACGGTTCTGCAGGGAAGAATTCAGATAACCATGACGTTCAGTATGGATACTGTCGTCTAATTTCAGTGAAAAATATCTTGTTTTATTCAACAGGCCTATGAAAATTCCAAATCCAAGAGGCCAGCCGTAAACACTATTGTCAAGGTCATCATCTGACGTTTGCGATGACGTTTAACAATATGGAAAACATTCCTAACTCCTGGCATAGATTGAAATTTAGACAAGTTTTCCCGTAGTTTTTCATATTCGCGGTCGCCAAGCTCAATAAATGAAGTTCTGATGACATTAAAAACTATGGGAAAACAAGTCTAACTTTCAATCTATGCCAGGAATTAGGATGTTTTCCCGTAGTTTTTGATGTCATTGCAACGTCATCTAATGACCATGGCGACCGCGAATTGCTAAACGTCATCGCAACGGAATCTGATGACCTTGAAAACCGCCAATAGTATGCATTGATCACGCATCAAGAATACCCCTAATTGAAGAATATTTCAAATATGAAGCGATTCAGAAGAGCTCCGAAAAATTTGCTTCTCACTAAAGCTTATTATAATTCGAACTAGTTCTGTTGTGATGACTTATAAATCTTATCTTCATTGATGTACCTATTGTAATATTTGTATTTGTTGTAAATTCTGTGTGACGTATTTTATTATTAAAGTGTGTAAGACATTTATACGTCATGTTATATTGTAACAATTAACATTTTCATGCTTTGTTAATAAGATTGTCTTGGACAATAAAGATGTTTTTGATTCGATTTTCTTGTTTGATTCAACAGGCTTATTGATGCTACGAGGCTAAACACGGACGTCAGCGAGCACACTTCTTCCAGCCGAATTTCTTGCGACTGATTCTCGAGTCAGTCTATCGGAATAGTTTTCAAGAGAAATATATTCTCAAGCTCGAAGTAGAAATTAAAATTTCGTACTCATATTCTACCAGTGAAATTGTGTCTCAAGTTATTTTATAGAATTCAAAAAGTACCATGTGTTATCGATAATTTCATGAGATTGAACGCTTACAGACCACTGACATAATTAATATCTAGACCGCTATGTGTTTTATCGCAGCAACCCGAAAATCTCGGATAAATTGCTCGCCTGAAAACGCTTCTGCTCAAAGCGCAGGAACTCTCAAACTGTCGTTCATGTCACCGAGTCATGCCTCCTTCTCATGGCATTAGCGGTCTAGATAGTAGTTCGTGATCGAACGCTGAAAATTCATAAGGATTGAATATTTTTCATATTCATAATACTTCATTCAAATTCATTTAATATCTATCGTCCTAAGGTATGTAGTCAATGAACCTAATGGTCAAATTAACATTTAATTTTCCATAAGGCCCCTCTTCTCACCAAGCAAGCACTTTAGCTAATTCCTAGGTTTTAACTGTAGAAGTATTTCATCTAAATTCTACCTCAGAATTAGAAAAAAAATTTCAAGTACTTTAGACCTGTCAAAACTGTCATCATCATCATTCACTGAAATTCTTATGATTCTTTCTCATTGCCATCTGTAAGAGCATGAGTATATATACAAAGTAAAAATTGAAATTGCTAAGCTCAACAGATTCACAAGATAGGTAATTTTCAAAATGCACTTTTTCAGTTTTTCGTAGATGTTATGAAAACTATCTGTGGACACCAATGAAATTGTTATCAAATTATCTGAAAGGTTCCCGATTTTTCATCACTTCTAATAACGAAGTTACCCATACTACAGCAGTCAATAAAAACACGATATATTCATATTACCTGAACTAGAAGATAATCTCCCACCAAAAAGTTCACAACCCCTTTGCATCGAGAAAGACATCCAGTAACAAACTTGGAATTTGTGCAGACCAATCAATAAATGAACCTAAAAAATATTTTTCCATTTCAATACTAGATTTGAAGTTTGAAATTGAGTTCGACTGTCAGTACTAGTTACTACTAAAGTCGCTAACCACCAAAAGGTAGTATGACAAAATTTAGCATCAAATAGGAACATCCCAACAACGGTAGTCTTACCCTTTTATAATGCTTGCTGAGTTGTGTCTTTCTGGGTCTCAAATTGTTGAAAATGAGTCCCCTCTTCGTCGGTCTCGTCACGCCAGACAAGATAAGATTCAAACTTTCGATCCAGCGCAAAGTGCTTCCGTAGAGAAGCAGGATGGGACAGCTGTTCGGCTCTTGTGCCACCGGGCGTGTTTCGAGGGTTATGTTCAAATTGACGTTTTGTGAACGGAATGCCCTGAACGAATCGTGCACCTAGAACCATCACATGAAATGACTTCAAGTGAGGGAAAAATGTTAGAAGTGTACTTGGGCTGTTTCTAGCTCAAGAAGGCGGCTGTGACTTTCAAGTAAAGAAACGTTAGTAATCTTTGAAAAACGTGCATAAAACGTTAGAAGCATTGAAAAACGTAAGAAATCGTTTCATCCATCAAACATTTTCAAAATAGGCGAGTGAACTAATGTTTTTTATTTCTTCAATAAAATAAGACTGTAACAGATAACAGCGAAATTTTTCATTTCTTCGGCTTATGATTTTGAAGTAATGCTCATCTATTAGACAGAGCTGTCATTGCTCGTATTAACATTTCATGGGAGATGAGATTTTGTGAAACAATAACACAATGAGGTCATTGTGATATCAGATACGGAAATGATATTGATGACATACAAAGTACCTCATTGATTTATCGAACACAGTAGACCAATAGCAATTTTGATTACAGCTGTTGAAAAAGGTATTCGTAGCATTGCTCAAATACCATCAATACAAAACAGTCCGGAAAACCAGAACGTAAATTAGTTCAAATACGGAAACCCGTAGCTTATGAATTATTTATTAGTAACAACTGTTTTAAAGTGAAAGCTTCAATAAATCTCAAATGTGAAAATTTCACATATAGTTAGTTCAATTGAATTGGCGAACTTACCTGATTACTAGAATATTCTGGAACTTTATCTGGAGCACATTGCACAACGCTATGATGGTCGTTCGGATTGCCCAGACAAACCCACTGAATGCCGAGTACAAGTTTCACATTTGGCATTTTCAACAGCTGGACATCATCGTATTTCGAAGCTGTTCTCACAAATATGTTCAGGTCACCTTTATAGACAAACTTTGCTGCAAAAATGAATTATTGATCGATCTGTTCATAATTTTCCTGCCACTATTCTCGTGCAAATTAGTTCATATTGAGTTCCCTACGCCATTTTTCAGAATAATTTGGTATACCATTGGTCCAGTCCATAATAACTTTTTCCCAGGTAAGTGCCATTTCTTCTGTGGTATTATATGGATCCAATGATGCGTGGAGAAGAACTGACAGTTGCTGAACTACCATGGTGAGTCTGCCATGGAGCAGAAGTCTCATTTTATCCCACAACGACAATGGTGGGGAGGGATCTCGCGAAGCAGCAGAGATCTGGTTGAAATCTTGGAATAAAACAAAGGAATACACTATTGATGGCGTTTTGTTGTGCTATAGTTTCGAAAAAATAAGCCAATAACACCGTCTCTGAGAAAGAACTGCAAGTCCTTTTATCTTCCATTCAACTTCGCGGTTACGTAAATTACTAAACAACCAATAGATTCGCAATTTTTCAATACCAAATCACAGAATTAGACTGAGATATTTGATAACTTCAAAAGAATGACAACAACGCAGGTCATGTCGATAATTTTCTGATTTTGATATAATGTAAAATCTACTCAATATTGATTCGTCCTTTTTCCTGTCACAGAAAAAAATTGTGTATTATACACGAGAAAAATATTAGATTTTAGCTCAAGGTTTTTCGTCTTCCTCCGCTCCGCGTCGGGAGACAACACAACCTGGAGCTAAAATCTACTACTTTTTTCCCTTGTATAATAAGTAACTATTTTTTTCAAAGATGAAAATTACTTTACTAAACGATTTTTTTTCAACTGTCAAACACTTAAGGTTACTGCTAGTTCTATTCTGAAACAATGTTTATATGATTCTACGACTAGAATAATCGAACTTGCTCCATTAATACAAATGCCAAATTAACCTACACTTGGCTAACTAACCATGTGGTGAGTTCATTCAGGACTTGAAATATTAGAAAAGGTGACTGGCGAATTCAAAGTTGAATCCGAAAATCATCCAATTACCACCCGTTATTCTTGAGTTCGAACTGAGTTAAGTTGTGTATGAATTCACCATTACTTAGCAAAGATCCATCGACATATCAATTTTTGAAACCCTGATAGGAATATGGTTTAGCTGACAGTTTCATTTTTATTTTTATGGCGTTCACGATTTCGAATAAATGTCGATGAAAGTAAATAGATATCTTACAGGATTACTTCAACAGTGACGCCGTCATTTTGTGAAGCTTCAATACGGTATTAAAAAATGAGACATAATCAACTAGGTAGATGAAGGTCTACAATTAGTCTAAGAGCAAGCGATCGGCAGAAGATTGGTATACTATTCAACCTGCCGTAGGTGGAATGGGGATTCACTATCCCTGTCGACGGTTCCTTTTGGCGTATCCAGAAGTCAAAAAACGTCAAAAATTACTTCAAAAACGTGATTTCAGCATGTCTGCCGTTTTAATATCTTGAAGTAAGTAAATTCCTTAATCAAAAAAATGCAATGGCAGACACTTATTCCGGTTCCAAGTATATTCTATACAATTTCAAAACATAGGAGTTTATAAAAATTTGCGTTATTTCAGCGAAACTGAAATTCAAATATGTTATTTATATTATCATTATACATATAGACGATATAGTATTTTCTCTGTCGTACTAATGTAGTTGTGCAAAATTGAGACTTGCTCACTCTTTATCTCGCAGGGACCCAGTGTTCATGCTCTCCTGTAAGAATGATTGTTAATTGAAAATACACTATACATTTTTAACCTTCTTTGAATTGAATTGATGTTTTTTCTTTCCGATTGAATAGGAATTTTACATGACATTCACAATGCGAAAGCTTTGATACTGCCTTCGATGTCCGATTGCTCAAAATTGGCACCTTGAATAGCACCACCAAAGACATACTCGCACTATTAACAGAAATGGTGAAAGTATTTCTGTGGCACATTCGTAATGAAAGAAATACTCACTTGTGTTAATCAATTAGATTATACACAGATCAGAATCTAATCAAGTTCAATAATTAATCTGTAAACAATGAGAAAATTTCTTCATTCACATTTGACCAAGTGGAGTGCAGTGGTCGCAGCAGAGTTCAACCCATTATACTCAGTTGAAGTAATTTCGCCTAGCACCATGACGACGCTGAGATAACTAAAATTTTTATAAAACTTTCGGAGTTTCGAAATTCTATAAAGCATATTTGAAACCGGAATAAGTGTCTGTCATTGAATTTTATAATAATAAAAAATATACTTTGAGATATCAACTCAGCAGACATGCTGCGATCACGTTTTTTAAGTAATTTTTAACGTTTGTTGACTCCTCGGACCGCCCAAAGGAGCCGTCGACGAGGATAGTGCCAGGTGAAATAGAATACCTAGCATCAATATGGAGTTTGGAGGAGTGAAAGAACTTACAGTCACAACTCCACCACATGAACAATTTAATAATAAACTTGAAAATAGTTTTTTAGGTTATTCAAGTGATCTTTTTCCACCAATAATGGTAGGTATATTCAAATTTTTTAACAATACTTGAAAACTCACATGAGCGTTGTTTTCTTCTTACAGATTTTCTTCTTTTTATAAATTAGCTGATGATGAAGGATTAATCCTTCGAAACATGTCCTTTTGTTCATGACCGTTGGTCATTATTAAATTTTTTATGTGGTGGAGTTGTGACTGTGTTCTTTCATTCCTCCTGATTTATATCACCTACGTTGGTTAATATGGAGTTTGCTGCCATACCGTAAATGTGCCGATCGCTGGCTCTCAGTCTAATAGCGAATTTCATTGGCAGGAACTTGTGGAGTGTTTCTCCACTGAGTGTATAGTTATCGCTGTTCGACACATGCGACTAAGAAGGAAACATATTGATTGAGTGCAGAGACACTCCACCAGTTACTGCCAATCAGGGCCGTAGCCAGAGCGAATGTTTAGGGTAGGCAAAAAAAATTTTTGGGCTGGCTAAAATTTTTCTCAATTCAAAGATTATTCTTTGGTAAACAAATATCACAAATATATTCTGATTGAATGATTTAACAAGAAAGTTAAAAAAATTATAAAAACAACAAACTCTCAGGTAAAAACAACAAACTCTAAAATGAAAACAAACTAGATAAAATAAAAACTCAAAAATAAAAGTAGACTCTAGAATCTAGATAAAATAAAAACAAGAAACTCTAAATTAAAAACAACAAAGTCAAAATAGTTGCAGGCGTCTATTGTTTCGTTCACTGAATTTTCGCAGAAAAATGTTCATGTCTAGTGCTTTGGTGCGATGTCTTTCAGACGCAAGCAGAATTAAATTGGCCATTCTTTGTTGGCACATAGACAGACGTTGTGAACGATTAATTCTTGTCAATACAGAAAAACTCGATGCACACGTCGCTGTAGTGCATCCAAAGGTCCTAGCTGATGCAAGTAAATTATAGGTGTCTTGGAATGCTTCTCCATGTTTAAAAACTCAACTTATTCACCACAAATACTTCCTCTGATGATGGAAGTTTAATGCCTAAAGTTTCGAAAAACTGCATTTTAGACGAATCGATTCCTCCTTCATCTTCTGCACTGGAAACTGCATCAATCAGTAGTTCACTATTGTTCGTGAATCTTCTATTCATTTCATTGAGAATTATATCTAGCGTTTCATGAAATATTCTTTTGAAATTTTGATCACTTTGATCCAATTCCTCTGATCTCTCTCCAATTTTATCTAGAATCAGGAAGTCTGTGAGCTTTGTATTCATCTTCTTTTTTCTTTTGTTATTATTAGGTATTTCTTCTTCCACTACGTCGAAATCTGAATTTACCTTATCTTCAATTTCTTTAAAAATATCGTCACTTCTAGAGGAGCTGAGTGAATCCACCACGGACTTTAGAATAACGACAGAATCTTTCAAGCTCGCCTGATTTGATTGGAGTAATTCATCGGCAGGCTGAATGGTTTCCAGGATTTTTTTCATGAATACCATGCAGAATCTAAACTCTTTGGATTTCACGACTTTGAGCAAACCAATGCAAGAGTTGCCACTTTGTTAAATGTTTCTCCTATCTACCGATTATTCTAGGGCAGGCAAATATTTTTCCAGGGCAGGCTGCGCCTGCCGTGGCGTACCGCTGGCTACGGCCCTGCTGCCAATGGGATTCGCTATAAATAATTTCTGGGGTTTTATAAGAGAGATCTGTTTCACCATCTAATATATCCACCTTGGTTGAAAACAGGATGAACAGAAGATGTTGTAGAAACTCCTATCAAATCCCATCTACTGTTTTTCGGTCAAAGTTCTTGACCTACGGCCTACTTGAGAGAAGGATTCGTTCGAATATCGCGGAATATAGGTCGCATTTTGTCGGTTGCATGGAGAAATCTCAACCAAAATTCAAGGTTGATAGAACTGATGATAATTAAAATTCCCCAAAATTACACAGTTTCGTACTTTCAAATTCAATCTCATTTGATTTGAGGTTATGTTATGAATGTTATGATATTATTATTTCTGGTGCTAGCGGTGTGTAAGCGCCGTTTTCTGTTTTCTGTCATAAAAGAAATCTGTAAAAAGTGTCGCCACCTTGCGGACAACTGAGAACTAATATGCCATTATTGCGGAATCTGCGGTCAAGCGGTGTAGGAGAAACAAAACACTGTATGTGATTACACCATATTTTATCCACATTGGTTGAAAATAATAAGGAGAGGTTACTTACTTAAATTGCACTGGGCAATTACCGGTTCCCAACAAGGTCCAAAAGCGTAACTGAATGATTCAATTTCGCAATTGAAATCGTGGTAATATTTGAGCGGCAACATTCCTCTTTCCACTAAGAAGGGCTCGAACGGTTCACCAAGATGAACCTCCACGGTGCGGATGGCTGAAAAAAAGACAGCATGAAGAATACGAAAATCTATTATTGAATCTTTTGGGCCATTTCAGATTTTACCAAATGAAAAGGTGCAAGTGCACAGTGTAGATAATCTAATACAGCAATATTCAAACTCCACACTTTCAATCATGGAAAAAAACATCGCGCTTGTGTCTTCAATAGATAATCTGATTCCTACATCTACATGTATATTATAAATATGGTCAAATACTGTGTGTAGGTTAATCGAGGAGATGGTACATTCATTATTCCAGATATTTTGGGATTTTCTCTCCTCGTTTGTATAAAATAAAAATATCAACAGTATTTCAATATACAGTGTGTCCACCTTAAGGACTTACCACTCCTGTAAAATTGTTATTATCTGACCGATTTCAAAAAACTTTTTTTTGTTGGATAGGTATTTGAAATGTCCATCCAACAAGAGAGTGATTTCACTCATGAACTGTAATCATGGCCAACTGCGACCAACTTTATTGACCCATATTTGAGAAAGTACTATTAGGGATTTTTTTTCACAAAAAACAATGATGGATTCTGAATCAAGATCACTTGAAGAACACCCTTACTGATTTTAATCATTATAAAACACAGGGTGTCCGAAAAAACGAATTATGTTTTTTTTTAATAGGTGATCAGAAAATGTAGTATTATGGTATTTTTGAGAAGAATCGATGACACAATATTATTGAGGATCACTTCGAACATATCTGTACCGATTTTCATCATCCAAAAATACGATTTGCATGAGAAAATAATTAAAAAGAAAAATTAGGCAATATTTTTTCATCAACTCAAAAAAAATATTAATTTGATTTTTCGAACACCCTGTGTTTAATAATGATGAAAATCGGTACAGGTATGTTCCAAGTGATCCTGATTCATGTTTTTATTTTGAGTGAAGAATTATCAGGATGAAAAATATTGCTTACCTATATCCTTTTTAATTTTTTTCTCATCAGACACATTGTATATTCAAATGGCGAAAATTGGTACAGGTATATTTGAAATAATCCTCAATGATAATTTGTGATTATTTCTTTCTAGAAAAACTACATTTGCTGATCACCTATTTGAAGATAATGATGATTCGTTTTTTCGGACACCCTGTGTTTTATGATGATGAAAATCGGTATAGGTATATTTCAAGTGGTACTGATTCAGAATCCATCATCAAGTTTCGTGGAAAAAAATCCCTAATAGTACTTCCTGGAATATGGGTCATTGAAATTTGTCGCAGTTGGCCACGATAACAGTCCAAGAATTAGATCACCCTCTCGTTGGATGGGCATTTCAGATACCTATCCAACAAAAAAAGGTTTTTTGAAATTGGTCGGATATTAACGATTTTACAGGGGTGGTAAGTCCTTAAGGTGGACACACTGTATGTGTAGTAAGGACAAATCAGATGATTTGCCACAAAATGTCACCGCGTTCAAAGAATTTTCCTAATATCAAATTTTCACTTGAGCTTTGGACGTTTCGGGAACCAATCTGCTCCTGTTTTTAACGTAAAAAATGGATATTTGTATAGCAAATTCGTACTAGTCTTGACACTTCTCAGTTTTCAGTGACAAATGGTAATTTCAAGATTAATCAATGAAAACATCCTGTAACATTTGATTGCCAACGTCACCAATCCTAACCAACCTAACCTATCATTCGAAACAAAAAATATCCGAATCGGACCAGTAGTACTGACAAAACCGCATCTTAAAGTTTAGGCTACTTTTTGATGATGCGTTAATTTCGTGGAGAAGTGTATAAAAAGACCAAGGATTCCGAACTGTAAACTATCCAGCAACAAGGGAATGTCGAAATGAAGTCGTAGATTCTTCCAGGAATCTGTTGCCGATATCAAGTACCGGAAAGATAAGGAGATAGTGACTCTTCTATCTTATTTTACTGAACAGTTGTCATTCTCACATGTGAAACGCATTGGCAAAAAACAGATGTTGACTTCTGAAATCATACGCCCTAATCTTCTAACGGATTGATTGAGAGAAACATAATAACAGAGTACTGTCTGTAGGTTAATCGAGGAGATGGTACATTCATTATTCCTAATTTTTTGGGATTTTCTCTCCTCGTTTCTATAAAATAAACATATGAATATCATTTTAATATACGAGTAGTAAGGACAAATCAGATGATTTGCTCCAAAATGTCACTGCGTTCAAAGAATTTTCCTATCAGAGAGCCTAAAAGAAAAATTCACTGGCTTGTCAGTGACAATTTGTATTGAAAAAAGTTTGGAGAAGAGAAATAAAGGGATATAGAAAAAATATCGATTTTTCACTTATCTTTGGACGTTTCGGGAGCGATTCTGCTCCCGTTTTCAACCTAAAAAATAGTTATTTTATTAGCGAAGTCGTATCTGTCTTGAAACTTTTCAGTTCTCAGTGACAATTGGTGACGTTGGCAATCAAATGTGTTACAGGATGTTTTCATCAATTAATCATGAATTTACCATTTTCATGGTCAGATTTCAGTAATGAATACCATGTTCTGTCTATATCAACTGAACAAGAAGCAATGCTATTGTCTCCGTTCAGAAGAATACAAGCAGATTCCTTGATTTTTCTCTTATGGTTGTTATCTTCTTTTCCAATGATTTTAATATTATTCCACTCTGCCATATGTTGTACGTCTTCAGTAAGGATATGTTCTGCTAGTATCGAATAATAACTAGGTACCTATTTGATATGATGAAAATTTTTTAAAAAATCGATAATTCGATTGTTTCAAGTACCTATCTGATTTTTTGTTGTTATATTCAGAACCATTTCGGTAACCCCTACCCACTAATCATAATTTCATTCGAAATTATATATATGATTTCAGATTATAACTTGCTGTGGCCATTCCACGCAACCTATTACAGAAATTAAACTAGCGAAACTTTAAACTCCATTTATGAATATCTACATTAATGACACATAATAATCGTGATAAATATAACTGCAAAACATTCGATGCGATAAGAATGAATAATACATAAAAACATCAACAATACTATTTAAATTATGTCCAGCAATTACATTACAAAAAAGGGAATCAGATGCCATCAAGATCGCTATAGATATCAAATGTACCATAGCTTAATTTGGACCACACACAAGGTCATTCGAAAACAAAATAATGTGCATCATTAGGTTAAACTGTTTCAGTAGGCTTCAACAAACATTGACACAGAAGTGATCGAAGGGGATACATCCATCAATACAGATAATTTTATTGATGAAGATGTATTCTGGATCATTACCGAAGTTTTTGTTGTTTTTGTTGACCACTGACTTGATCTTGATAATGAACTGTCATCAAATAATGGCGGCTGCACGAAAAAGAGTGAGTACATTCTGTATTTTTGTATGTAACACCCTATGAAAATTACCACTAATAGTTTACTAAATGAAAAACTTACATGCATCTATTTTGGTTTTTGTGTTGGGTTGGGTACTTATTTTACATTATTCACTTAGCTTCCACCTTCGATCTTCAGACCTCAAATTATTTTCATAAGGAAACTAGTATCTATCTATACAGTGTGTCCCACTTACCATGCTCACCATGGGTATCTTTTTAACGGTGAGAGATACGAGGTCGGTTAAATGACACCAAATGTGGAGTTTGTCAAGGCCAACTATAATGTGAAAAAATATTTTGATGAAATCTATTCGTTTTTGTTTTATACGCAAAAAACAGATTTTGATCATTTTCATGTCTCCTCCGTAACTTCTTTATTTATGAAAATATTCAAATAGAAATTTCACATTTCCATGGCAGTTTTTCAAAGTGATTTCGAAAAAAATATGAAAGTTATACCAACTCTCCTAGAATTTGAGATATCATCACCAACTTTAGTTTTTCAAATGTAGGTCATAGCTCACTATGACTTAGTTACAAATAACTTTTTTTTCTCTTACAGATGATATGTCGCAGTAATACTTTTGTGTTGATAACAACGGAGTTATCGTCATTTATACAAAAACAAAAAATCATTTGGAAGCCGCCATCTTGAATTCATAAATTTTTACAAAAAAATCATGATCTCCGACCTCAAAAACTCCCACTTACCAATTTTGAATGGTATAGTACCAAATCTCGTCCTCCATCTTGGAGCAGCCATGTTTTTTTAATTTCAACAAAAATTCCATAACAAGATTTGGTCCGATTCCATTCAAAATTGATGAGTGGGGGTTTTTGAGGTCGGAGATCATGATTTTTTTGATAAAATTTATAAATTCAAGATGGCGGCTTCCAAATAATTTTTTGTTTTTGTATAACTGACGATCACAAAACTATTACTGCGACATATCATCTGTAAGAGAAAAACAAGTTATTTGTAACTAAGTCATAGTGAGCTATGACCTACATTTGAAAAACTAAAGTTGGTGCTGATATCTCAAATTCTAGAAGAGTTGGTATAAATTTTATATTTTTTCGAAATCACTTTGAAAAACTGCCATGAGAATGTGAAATTCCTATTTGAATATTTTCATAAATAAAGAAGTTACGGAGGACACATGAAAATGATCAAAATTGCGTATAAAACAAAAACGAATAGATTTTATCAAAATATTTTTTCACATTATAGTTGGCCTTGACAAACTCCACATTTGGTGTAATTTAACCGACCTCGTACCTCTCACCGTTAAAAAGATACCCATGGTGAGCATGGTAAGTGGGACACACTGTATAAAGTAAAAAAATAATTATCCCAAAACATTCGACTCTCCTTCTCTGGCTGGAACAAAATTATTTAATAATTTACCATCTGAGCTGAAAGATATTCAATCATACAACCTCTTCAAGAAAAAAGTCAGAGAATTTTTGATACTGCATAGTTTTTACTATACCTCTGAATACCTTAGTTATAAGTGAACTGGGAGTACAGTTTTTGATTTTTAATTTTTAATATTTAATTCTTAACTTTATGTATTTGAATGTTTTGATTTTTGAATTCTGATATTCAATTCTCAACTTTT